CCAGACGCTCCTGGAGCTTCTCCTTCTCGTACTCGGAGGTAGTAGGGTCGTTCATGACACCACGGATCTGCTCGCAGCGCTGGGAGATGGAATCCTTGGCGCCCTCGCCGTTCAGGAAGATGGTGTCCTCCTTGGTGATGGTGATGGAGCCAGTGGAGCCGAGCATGTCGGGGGTGGCCTTCTCAAGCTTGATGTCAAGCTCCTCGCTGAAGACGGTACCGTTGGTGAGGACAGCCAAGTCACCAAGGATGGACTTGCGGTTGTCACCGAAGCCGGGTGCCTTGACGGCGGCGACCTGGAGCTGGCCACGGAGCTTGTTGAGAATGCAGACGGCGAGAGCCTCACCCTCAATGTCCTCAGCAATGATGACGAGAGGGCGTCTCAGCTGGGTGGAGGCCTCAAGAGCGGGAATAATGTCCTGGACGGCAGAGATCTTCTTCTCGGAGAGGAGGATCAAGGGCTTCTCGAACTCGACCTTCTGGGACTTGGCGTCGGTGATGAAGTAGGGGGAGACGAAGCCGCGGTCGAAGCGCATACCCTCGGTAACCTCGAGCTCGTCGACCAGAGTCTTGCCCTCCTTGACGGTAATGACACCCTCCTTGCCGACCTTCTCCATGGCCTTGGCAATCAGGTTGCCGACCTCCTGGTCACCGTTGGCGGAGATGGTAGCGACCTGGGCAACCTCCTCGCTGGTGGAAATATCTCTCTTGTTCTTCTGGAGGAAAGCGACGACCTCATCGACGGCAGCCTGGATACCACGGCGCAGGTCCATGGGGTTGCAGCCAGCGGCGACGTTCTTGACGGTCTCGGAGAAGATGGAACGGGCGAGGACAGTGGCGGTGGTGGTACCGTCACCCGCGGTCTCGTTGGTCTTGGAGGCGACGTCCTGGATGAGACGGGCGCCGAGGTTCTCGAACTTGTCCTTGAGGGTAATTGCCTTCGCGACAGTTACACCATCTACGAGCCAGTCAGCTTATTGATGAAATCAAACTCAATGGCGTGTTTCCATACCCTTTGTGATCTTGGGGGAGCCATAGCTTGACTCAATGAGGACGTTGCGACCCTTGGGGCCGAGTGTTGTCGCGACGGCCTTTGCCAGAGTATCAGCACCAGCGAGCAGGGCGGCACGGCCCTCAACACCGAACTTCAGCTCCTGTAGACTAAGTTAGCATCCTGAAGCTGATGGCATTGCCAATGCTTCGTGACATGTTGACTAACCTTGTGGGCAAAGCGAAGCTGCTGTCCCAGGCCGGCACCGGCACGGAACTTGCTGGGAGCAGCAGAGAGGACGGAAGCTCTCGCGCGGGAAGAAAGAGCGCGCTGCATCTTGAATCTTATTATGAGGGTATCTAGGTAAGAAAGAAGAAATACAGAACTAAGGATTGAAGGTGTCGCCGGGTTTGAATCACACGTGTCGCTCCAAGGAGATGAAGTAAAAAGTTGCAGTGAGTGATAGAATTGGAGAAGCTTCCCGTCACCGGCTCCAAAAATTTATCTCGGACGTTCGGCTAAACGAGGTCCCTTCTGAAGCGCCAGTACAAAAAGGGATTAGCGCAATTGTGGGTGCATTTCTACCGTCTTCCAATGGCATCTGTCTCCATTCTCAGCATCCGCACATGGTATCCCCTAGTGACCATTGCCGAATATTGACATGGGTTCGACCATCGGAGAACATCGGCGGACGATCGAGTATGGGGTTTCTCCTGAGCAACTGAACCGACTTACCAAGCAATACGAAGTACGGACACATAGCATGAACCCCGACGTCGTAGCAGCTCAGCAAACATTGGATGGCACTTTAAGCAAGTCACGAGAACTGCCATCCGAGCAATGCGTTAGCCGCATGCGAGTTACACCTAGATTCAACGGTGCAACGTTTCAAACAAGCTTCTTTTCTTAGTCTTTTCATAGGTGCGCATGCCTCGACTTTATTGCAGCAGCTCACTGTACTTGAAACATCAAGAAACGGAGCGACGGCGCCGTGGCGCCGTGATGCAACCCCTAACCTCTTGGCCGCGCTATCGCAAGGATGAGAATGCTACTACAAGGGAGTTAGACGGCCTAATGCGCGAGACCGAGTTGGAATAGGCACGATCTTCTTGCAACATATATCCTTAATTTCCAACTCGCTTGGGCAAGGGGCCGGAGCAACCTCCTTGGAGGTGATGTTCTTGTAGTATAAGAAGGGGTTTGGAAGACGAAGAAACGGAAGATATTGCAAGATCATCACCAGCATCCAATACTCTAATCTCTCAAATACACATTCACTCTTTCTGCAAACATGAAGTTGTCACTCCTTGCCGTTATCGTGGCCTCCGCCTCTGCCGCTCAAGGCGCCATTACCTGGACCCTTGAGAAGGCCGCCAACCCCACGGCCGACCAAAGCGACGCATACACCAAGATCGAAGCCGCCATGAAGCTGGCCGTCGCAAGACACGCAAAGCAGGGAAAGGCCAGCAAGACTATTCGTGTCTACTACACGCCCGGCGTTCCTACCGCCGAGGCCAACTACAACGGTGATCTCCGCTTCGGATCGAACCGATCATACATGAACGAGCGTACGGCGCTCCACGAGATCTCACACACACTCGGCGTTGGCCAGACTGCCGCCTTCGACTCCAAATGCGCGTCCGGCAACTGGGCTACGGCATTGCCCCTGCTTCGCTCCTGGGATGGCTCTAGTGCCAAGATCAGCTGTGGCGGTTCGCACTTCTGGCCGTACGGGCTCAACTACGATACCGAATGGAGCGAGACAAACGCGGACCGTCACGTGAGAATCATCAACGCCATGATTGCTGATGGTATGTAAGGAGAGGGGGATTCTACATTTTCCAAATTCGTGTACAAACTTCATTAAACGATTTTGAACCCTATGGTTCATTCCACTGTACATACATCACAAGACCGCAAGAAGCAAATTATCCTGGTCTTTTGTTAAATACACCATTCAACCTCAAGAAGGTTGCAGCGTTTCTCGTGAAATTCCATGCTTCCATTTATCTCTGAAGCCTGTCTTGATCGGTTATCGTGAGTCAAACGTGAGATTCGGCCGAAGTCGGTCGCAGAAGCTTGAACCCAAGCGTTCAAGATGACAATCTCAATGCGTTCATCTGTTGTCTAATGCTAATGCTAATGATAGATAAGTCTGAGGCGCTACTAACAACTGATCCAAAGTGAGGGAAACGGGAAATGAAAAAGGCGAAGCTCCTGTGTGTATAACAAACATTCTGCTATTGCACAATCTCATCAGCAGCAATCATTGCGCCGTCTTTTCCTATGACGAACACACCATAGATATTCTCCAGCCCCAAAATGGGCCAAGGGAAGATGGTGAAAGAGGTGTGGCGAAAGAAGGAAAGCAGAGCAAACAACAAAAGCACGCACGACGGCATCTTTCTCCTATCCTTATGCAGCCTCCAACGCCAACATCCGCAATATCCCAACGAAACTCAAAGACTCGTTACCCAGTCTAGTGCGCTGAAATTTGTACATTGTGTCATTCCATGGCGCATCCATCGATTCAGTAGAATTGACTGAAGTCGAACGCATTCGAATTGAACTCGTTCAAGTCGAATCCCTGATCGTCATCCACATGGGTGGGGCTGGTAGCTGTGGCAATGTGATTGGCATCTTCATGCAAGTGATATTCACCATGAAAACCACCGTTGAATCTACCATTAGCGACATCACTGGAACCATCGCTCAAGGCCTGAAAAGCTGGCTCATTCAGTGGCGAAGTGCCCGGAGCTAAAGTCGTTGCCGAGGAGTTGCCAAACGGGGTTACGGCACCAGCTTCCTGACCATTAAGGCCGGCGAGATAGTTGCTCAGATTGACCGAGATCGGAATGGCATATGTCTTATAGCCATTCTCGATTCGCATCGGATACATGATCTCGGTGCCGGATATCAAAGAGACGCCATCACTGACGCTCACAGGCACCTTGAAAAGATAGTATGCCATGGGAGGGAGACCTTCGACATAAATCCGTGCCTCGTTTGGGGGTTCGTCATGCTTCCAGGCTTCAATCGCCTGCCTATACAGTTGCATGTCGTTGCCCCCATTGAGGTGCTGAGCCTGCCACTCCTGATTGGCTTGTCCTATCTGATTATGCTGGCTCGAATACTGCGCCTGGTGATATGGGTGCTGTCGGAGCTGGGCGTCGTTCTGGGCATCGTATTGGGTCAGACTGAACTGTTGAACGTGGTGGAACAGCAATTCTCCAGCCTGTTGTTGAGGGTTGGGAATGTCGTGAACTCGGTGATTCGGCTGCGCTTCGTCGTTGTGCACAAAATGGCCCGACTGAGCAGGAGCCTGGCAAGGGTCCTGGCCAAAAGGAAGCTGAGGGAATTCTTCATTCTATCCGATGTCAGTGATTGCAGAGGAAGAGTTGATTTAAAACTTACATCTTTGGGAGCCTCGTTGTCTTTCAAGGAAAACTCGTTATCGTGTTCCTCCATTATGCCATCATCAATCTCGCCATCGTCTGACTCTCCTTCGCCTGCTGCGTTGGTCTTCAACTGCTAGTTGTCGCCTTGCTGGCAGGGTTGGAGGAACGGCTCATCAAAGTTGACGGGCCTAGTAGCATCCTCATTCTCAGCTGTCGGCGCATTGACATAGCCGCGGATGTTCTGATCTCTCTCCAAGCTCTTGGCCTGGCTGGGGAGAGGTGGAACACAGTAGCCCATCTTGAGGAGTCGCTTGCGCTCTCGGGCAAGGAATTGAGTGAATGCTGTTGATGTCACTCCGGTGAAGCACTGAGGAATGATATCATCCCATGGCATCTTGCCGTGCTCTTTGGCACAGCTATACTGCACCCAAAGGAGTGTCACAAGCAAAGGGTCTTCCTCTGTACCTACAGTCAATTGATGAACAGTTTTCCAATCAATAAGATTCCACTTACTCCTCCACTGGATCAGGGCCCGGCTTTTTGGGCGAGTTGTGATCTTGACACTCTTGGGGGTTTTTTGTTCTTTGGCAGAGGTGTTCTTCCTCGCCCTTGTGTTCTTTCGGACTTTGGCATCCTGTTTCGCGTTCGGGATATCAGGGAGCTTGCCCGTTGACTTCTTGAGAGGCGCCATTTTTGGGACTGACAGTGGATTCCTTTAGTATAGGTCGCAATTACTGAGCTTCGTGCATATAAGGCTAGAATGCCGCTTTCCAAGCAACAAAAGGAGCCACCAGTAAGTCCAACAGACACGAGAAGGATAAAATAAAAAAGAAAGACGCAAAGATGCAAAGCGAAAGGGTATCTTTGTCTCAAAGAGATCGCGGTCTTTGCGTGACAGAAGGTGAGGGATAGAAGCAGCGTGAAGAAGGTGTCAGACCAAAGAAGGGATGGAGCATAACTTACCACTATGATATCAATTAAGCTGAATCAAGGGATTGCAGTAGGTAATGTGTGTATCGTAATCGTCTAAGTGTATCGACGAGGTATTGAGGAGCACTTCTCGTGGTGATCGTGATCGAGATGAATCTTGAATGGGCCTACAGCGTTTGGTGTTTGTGGTAGACAATGAAAGACAGTCGCGGAAATGGACGCGGAAATGAAGGAAATCAGAATAGGTGACTTTCGGATGGGTGCGGGTGGAAGGAAGAAGAGTAAGTTGGGAGCAGGTAAGGGTCGCGATATTATTGACCGCGAAGGGCAAATGGGGCCCGTGGGTGGGCAGGTCGGTCTTGACCCCACTTGAGGCGGCTGGTTCGGTAAGATATGAAGGCGTCTGCCTCGAGAAGAAGCAGAAGACGCGTTGGGAGTATCTGGGTTGCCGAAGGTGAGGCAGGCAGATGCGTGTGGCAGACGCGGTCACGGCCTGCCAGGCAACCTGTAAGTTGGAATGTTGCTTAACATGTGGCAATGCCTTCAGGCGTCGCCGAGTGATGACCTCGCTTCTGTTGATGGTCTTGCGATACAGCACTTACTTCTTTATGCCCTTACGGCGCCTTCGAAGGGCGATGGCGATATCTTCATTACTGCCCACGAATATTACGGTGACAAACACCACATGTTTTCCGCGTTCCCACTGAAATGTGACGGCCACTCAGGCGGGCAAGAAGATATCGGCTAAGGTACTCTGGTATTACCTGTTGTCTACAGTGGGAGATACGACTCGTTGTGAGACCGCTGCAGATGAAGGACAATGGTAGACTTGCGCAAAAAGGCAACAAATCCAACAGAATGTTGATTTCACGATGGAACAAGATATTCAATGTGAAACGAATTATTAATCTCGTGGTACGTACGAGTCAAACTACCAGTGATCTACAAAACCAATTTCCTCCCATCATGCCTTCCATCTTTCCAAAGCTTGGTGATCGGATGTGTTGTGTACGTCTCAGAGGGGAGAATGCTGGCCACAAAGTCGGACAGCTGAACTTTGAAGCCTCGTCTTGAGCTTCGTTACTTTGAACCGGCATCCTTTTTCGATTGCCCTCTTCCAGTGATGACGCGCAAGAATCTTTTGAGTCTTGACTTCGTGGGCTGCGTGCCCATGTCCGAAGTCTGCCCATTTCCTTGTCCTGATACTTGGTCTGCAGAAGCGACAACTCGTGCGCCAATGCCAAAGTACTCTCTGCCAGCTGCATGGTATTGTTGCGCCCGTGTAGCTGAAGCGTATCCGGGGGGCTGCTCGTAGTTGGATCGGTGTCCCTTGCTGTGGAACTGGTGATGGGGAAGAGGAGACAGTTGCTCCTTGACTGCAGCTTGAACTGCAGCCGCAATGATTGCTGGCAGGTTGGTGGAGAGTTGATGCAGATCAGTGGTAACGGTAGTGAGTGCTGTGTTCAGCATGCCGACAGAGCCATTGAAGGTATTGGTTTGAGCACTCAGCATGGTGCTAAGAGTGTTGAGTTGAGACGTCATGGAGGCACTGACTGCATCGTTCATGGATGACAGTCCATCGAGCTGGCTGTCGAAGCGATCAATGTTGCCAGCAAGGCGGGTGGTGTTCATGCGCAGAGGATTGGCGACGTCAAGAAGAGTGCGCTCCGCAATCTGCATGAACTCCTCGGCGATGGCGTCTAGGTCATCTTGTGTGGGGTTGTTGATGCCCTTGCGCTGAAGTGCCGCCTGTGTAATCTCCAGCATGCGCGCTTCCTTGTTGATTGAGCTCATCCAGTTTTGAACTCGATGATCCACCTCTTGAAAGTTGGCCGGGGCTCCGTGAGCTTCATCGCGAGCCTTGATGCGACGTGCAATGTCGACCTTGAGAATGTTGTAGGATGCCGAGGGCGGCAAGGCGGGGTCACCTCGTGTATCTCTAAGACGCTGGAGATGTTGGTAGTCTTCCACGATGGTCTGGGGATCTTCGACCGTAGATGATGTGTTGGGAAACTCTCCTGTTTTTCGGGCTTGCTGGAGCTCTTCAGACATGACTCGAATGTGTCCTGGGGCATAGGCAGTTTGTCCAACGAGGATGTGATTGGCAAGGCTGGGCATGATGGAAACGTCAATGTGACCAAGTGCCAAAGACTCCTTGGCATCATTGGGTCCAAGGCTTGGGAATGACAGCTCTGTATCGGCAGGCGAATCAGGCGAAGAGAACAAGCTGTTGGTGTTGCTCGAAGTGTCGGATCGGGGCGACGAGGCGCCAGACGAGAGCTCCCAATGAGTGCCCATGTCGGTACCAGGAGTGAGCGGAGAGGCAGACATTGCGTCGCGATGAACTGATGTCGTAATTGCAATCGCGCGATGGAGGAAGAAGAGTTTGATGACTCCGTCTATTGGGGTGATCAGTTATTTGTCCAAACCTCGCGACCTGAGATGGGAAGAATAAAAAAGAGGTGAAAGAGGCCGCGGCCGACGAAGTACTTACCGACGGGTCCAGAAGCTGGAGATGTAGAAGAGAAGAAATACGTCTTCTTCAATGGCAGCGAGATGCTTTGCTTGTCGTTTGATGGATTGAACGAGAATTATTTCGGTCAATCGCTCGTCTGGTGGATGGTAGAGGGGACGGTAGCCGCGATGAAGAAGGGAAGAAGAAAAAACAACTTCGTTGGGTTGTGGGAGGGGGGAAGAAATCAGATTTGCGTGTATGGCCCACCCAGAGGAAAGCTGGAAAATTTTGGGGGCAACTGCTTGTGTGCTCTCGGCTGGAGTGGTCGGAAAATATTTGCCTTGGTGAGGTGAGAGAAGGAAGTTGGGTGAGAGGTAGATGGGAGGAAGGTGCGATGAGAAGGTGAAGTGTGGATGGAGCACTCTGGTTGGCTACAGGGTCTCCGGGCTGAGAAGTTAGGCAGAACGTCCACGGGTGCAAGTGAGCATGAGGTGCTCCGGTTGGCCTTAGGTTTCTACGAGAGGGCGTTAGATGTTTTGTGGGATTAGAACGAGGAGGGGAGGAGGGAGGTGTAGAGGGAAGCGCACCTGCCTCATGTAGGTATGTCTACCTATCTGTGTTGCCTATGTGACCTCCCGAAGATGCTGGAATCCCACATGCTCAAATACTTGGGGGCTTATTATGACGATATGGAAATCTTGCGCCCAGAAGATTCAATTGGCATTGCGAGCGTTCCCTGTGCTTTCGAATCTAGGATGCAGACTACGTGAAGCGAAGCTGGCTGGCATCAGTGGGAGATAGTAGATGCCCAACAGGTAAACGAAATTATCGGGACATAAATGAGTAGAAGACACGAGCTTGGAATGATTTATACTACTTGAAATTTCCACATGAGATTTCCCATATCAATCACTCGCAAGATTTCCGCCGCGCAAGCAGAAGCACCACCATCTGAAGGCCAGAAGACCTGGGACGGCAAACCAGGCATGCAATGAAGCAAATTGGATAGCATCTTGGACCCTCATGACAGACAAATGATATCACCGATGTGATTGAACTGGCGCAAGATACGATCAACAATTGTTGTGATGAATGGTAGGCACGAAAGGTTACGAGGAGGCTGTTCTTGCAAATGAATTGAGGGTGTCGTTGAAATTGAGCCCCAAATGCTCCGGAAGAAGTGGGATGACCCCTGCCAACCGTTGCCGAGACAGTTCCACTTGCCCAATCAGGCAGCGCTATGGCGGAACCTTCAACGGCGCGTACCATTCTCGGGTGTTACAAATCCTGTATGTAGACCATTGCGTTGCGAAAGAAGTAAAGCCACTCGTTCTATTTCTTGAGTCTCTAGTTGGCCTAATCATTCCCACTCCCATGTACGAGCCATCCCTTCCAGCATTCAGTTGAGCCATGACGGCAACATCGTCCCTGTTAAGGATCAATCTTTGGTCCTAGTACAAACTTGTTAGCGAAGTCTTAGAAGAACTGCGTAAGAACTACTCACATGTCCCGACCAACTGTGCTGCTTCTAGCTCCCCATGTATCGCGCACGTATCTGGCCATGCGTAGACTGGCATTTCCGGTAAGAATCCCCAGCCATGATAGCAAGCTGGCATGTCGCTAAATCTCGGCATGCTCGTCGGCCTTGGCGTGATCTGCATGGAACCCTCGGTATTAGTATCGCTCGAAACGGACGCGGAAAGAGGACTTCGAGATCCGCCGCAATCGTGAATCGGGCAATCGCTCGTCTTCTCCACGACGTAGAGAAGTTGCAAGTCGTCGTCATCGTCATCGCGGCCTCGGGGGATATCGTGGTACGAACCGTTGGTCGAGTCAGTGCCAGAGGCCTCGGGGTCATCCTTGACCTTGAATTGAGGCACATCCTCGGCATCATCCTCGTCATTGTAGGACGAGACAGCCGGGTGGTTGGCCAGCTTGACGCGCTTCGTCTCCTTGGTAGGAGTCTCAGTGGGAGCGCGCTTGCCCTTGGACTTGGGCGTAGCCTTTCCCGGGGTCTTGGGGCTGGCGCTGCTGCCGCCAGGAGAGGCGGCATTGCCGATGGGGCCATTCTTGGACAGGTCACTAGTCTTCATTCCGAAAGGCTTGAGGATGCGCTCGAATCGCTTGGCACTGTAAGGCACGCCAAGTCAGCTTGGTCCTCTAGGAACGTGATGAGTATTATGGTAAGAAGTTTGACTTACGCAGCGGCCTTGGACGCGATGTTGCAATCTGTAGCCACAGCCTGGAAATCGACCTGTTTTTGTTAGATGGTTTGAGTCTCTAGATATGACCAAGTGATATGGCACTTACCTTTCCACCGGAAGAATGCTTGATGCAGTGAACAAGGAAGGTCACCTGGCCCTCAGCATCGGTTCCGACAGAAGCCATCTTGAGTAGAGTGGAAGAGTTAGGTATGGGTAATGTTGGAAGAAGTTAAGTATGAGTAGTGTTATATGAAGACGAAGGCTGAAAGCAAGGCCCAAGAGCTGGAAAGTTGACGGGTTGTTGTGGTGGAGAAGAGTTGGGCCAGTGAGAAGTTCTGGTGAGAAGCTGGCTCAAATACTTTAGTTTGACCTCTGATGGACTGGAACTGGCAAGAGCCCAGGATATGAGGCGGGTACAAGTGGTTCAAGATGTGGACAGGTCAGGCAGGTGCTTGAAGGCTCTTAATAATACAGCGGGAGCAGTCCGGATGAGAGGTGGGCAGTCTGGACGAAAGGCAATGGCAGTTTGGACGAAAGGCGAGAACAGTCTGGACAAAAGGCAGGATACTGGACGACAGCACAATGACCGGGTGATAAGGCAAGAGCTACCCAGACAAGAGGCAGGATCAACTAATTCAAAATGTGGTAGATCAGGCAGTTGTCTAAAGGAACTTCACTGTGTTATCGGGAGCACTTTGGATACACATCTGAAGATTAGAGTACATGGTGAGAGTCATCTGCCTAAGACAAGAGGCACTCACAAGTGATTCAAAACATGAATGAGACAGGTCGGTCAAGTGTTTGGAGGTCTCATCAATAATAGAGAGGGCACTTAAGCCGACAAGAAGACTAGACGGAATGATAATGACCAGACGAAAAGGCGAGAGCTACCTGTCTGGACAAGAAGCAGGGCTATGTGGTTCAAAAGGTGATGAGAAACAAGGCAGTTGGTCAAAGGAACTCAAACAAATGGCAAGAGAAATCTGGACGAAAAGAAGACCAGACGATAACAGAATTATCAGACTTTAGTCAAATAACAAGACGAGAGCTATAGAAAGAACAGAAAAGAACAATTCAGATCTAAGGAGAATCCCAAAGGGTAGCTATGTGGGCCAGGTCCTGCTTGATGGGCTATTTCCTCAAAGTCAAGAAAATGTCTAGACTTAGACAAATCAGGCTTAGCTTTAGAAAATCAAAACGTGGAGGGCAAATAGGCTTCACGAGGACATGTTGCCATCGAGATACGGCTTATGAGATAATTCGGAATTGAGTTGCTCAAACTAGCATACCCTGCTGTCTATCACCCAACCCCGATCCAAATCATTTCCAATCCGAGACCATATGCATAGAATTCGCCGGCTTCACATCCCCTTTCTATTGAGCACTGAATGGAAAGCAGAGTTCAGTCATCGCGGAGTCGCTCAGTCGGAGTCGCTATTGGGGTTGTTGAGCTCTGCCTTGGCAGCAGCTTCGCCATCGGTGTCAGACTCGAGCTTGCCCGAGATGTCCTCGTCGACGTCAGAGCCGGAGGACTCGTTCTTCTTCGCGGCCTATATACTGGTCAGCATCCATGATCGATGAAATGTTCTGGGGAATGAAGGAAAAGAAATTCCGGGGTGAAAGTTGCAAAAACATAGTATGCTACTCACCTTCTTCTTGCGCTGAGCAACGCCCTTCTTCTTGACGGGCGTCTTCTTCACTCCGGTAGGCTTCTTGGCAGGGCTGCCACCGCTGGAGCCATCAGTGGCGGACCAGCCATGCTTCTTCGAAATGATACGAAGGCGGTCTCTGGCACTCTTGCCGTTGGCTAAGCCCATGATGCCCGCAACGTTGTCGTAGTCGATGTCAGGGCGCGTGTTCATGCTGTCAAAGACAGCCTTGACGAACTTGGTCTCGGTGTCCGTAAGAACGGAGACGGCGGACTCGCCCTCGGTAGCAGTGGACTTCTTAGGAGGCATTATGCTAGCTCAAGTCAGTCAAATATCTTGAGGAAAGGTTTCTCGAGTAAGAGATATCTAATAGCAAAGTAACTTACGATAGCTTCTGGTGATATATAGATATCAATGTGGGGAGTAATGCTCGGTTTTGCAAGTTGACTGGGTGTCTTCTGAATGACCTGAGAAAAGTGTGTAAAGAAGGAGGAAAGAAATTTTCGGCTTCAGCTTCAGTCGAAGGGGCTTTAAGCCCTCCATGGACACCGGTCCATCAGTTGAGAAGGTGCCCTCACTCAGAGTACCCGCCTCGTGAGGCTGGGTTGCCCAAGCCGGGCGGGAGCATATCAGTCAACGGTCCGTCAGGTTAGGCTACCGAGGCAGGCTGGCGATACTGAAACCCCACAGAAGTGTGGAAATATGGAGATCAATGGAGATGAGGAGAGAATAATGAGCACAGAAAACTGACAGTTCTGATGGGGAGAAAGACAAACAACTGAAAAACCTCAATACAAGTGACTCAAAGGCTGTTTGAATGAACCTCGATTTTCCTTATTGATGTGTCGAGGCTTGAAAAGGCCGGATCAGACTCAATGGTAACGGTCAGTGGCTTCTGGGTGTTGCAGACTTGCTCATCCTGCGTATCAGGCAAGGCACGAAGCGTACTCCCACATATTGAGAGATGTTACCTGAGTGACGTATGGACTTCAAAATTCTCGAAAGTCACGACGAGAAGGGTAGCGATGTTTCTGTAAGCTTGAGATCGTATTGAGGTCTTAGCTGGGCTATCCCCATACTATCCTGACGCCGTAGACATATCGCCTAGGGCACGCCTAGAAGCCATCTCTCCAAAGATCTCCGTTTCTGAACATCCACTCATTCTCGGCAAATCCGGTAGTCAAGAAGCCTTCTTAGATGTCGAAGACTTCTTCCTTGGTCTTGATGATCGCCTTGTCATCACTGGCCTCGTCCTCTTCCTCCTCGTCCTTGACAATCTTCTTGCTTTTGGCGCCCTTGGTGCCAACTCGTCCAGTGGGCTTCTTGACCTTGGAGCCAGAAGTCGGGGTGCTGGAAGAAGCCTGCGCGGCCTTCTTCTTGGGGGTGGCCTGGTCAGCCGGGGCGAACTTGCGCTTGATCTGGCCCCAGCGAGTCTGAAAGTCAAAGCGTTAGCATAAGTTGACTGCGTAAGTATTTTTTTCAAGGGGAACTCGAACGTACTCGAGCGACACCTCCGCTCTTGAAGCCAGCGGCAACAGCGAAGCTGTCCCAGTCAATGACGGGCTTTTCGGTCATGTGCATAAACACATGACACATGAAGTTGACATCAGAGGCGGACATCTCGGGAAGGTTCTGGTCAGCCATGATGTTCTTCTGAATCATTTTAGTCAGCTTAATAAGTTCACTTTGGAAGTAACGATCGGTTAGAACATACTATGACAGGTGCTTGGTGTGGTGAAGGTTTTTTGGTGTGAGGCCGAGGTATTGAGGCTAAATTCTATTAGAGTTTTGAATTGAAAGACATAATCTGTTATAGAAAGACTTACTGTTATCTTTGTGACTTTTTGAATGTTGCAGGAGCAAGTATCTCGGAGTTATTGACGCGTAGGTGGGGGGGGGGGGGTGAAGAAGTCTTGAGGCTCACTTGCGCATGGATGAATTTCAAGTCAGGAGTGCAAGTGAATCGAAATAGAAAGAGGGAAAAGTTTTCTGTGCTGAAGTCAAGAAACAGAAGGCGCCTGGAAAAGGGAAGGAAGTATGGGTTGACCAGGCAGTGAGGCGGTCGACGGTGGTCCCGATCTTTCATTTTTAGCCGCAGCCATGCACATAGACGATGGACCTAAACAATTTGATAAACATGGCACATTTTTGCAAGGAAGCAGCATTTTTTTTTTTTGGAATTGAGGCTTTCATGGCTTATTTGAAGTAAGAGTTCTGGGCTGAAACCCTACAAGTAAAGGACCTAGATAGGATATCAGGTATCAAAGGCTTGGTCAACTTTACAATACCGCATTCGTTCCAAGCCGAGATATGTTGCTGCAAGCTTCGATCGGGCTCAAGGAAGGAATCACATACGAATTTGGTCTCGATTTCGATAGGGTTTCTGGATAAATGATAGGCGAACGACCACAACTCTCGAGTGAGTAGTATGAGGCTCAAATAATGGTGTCAGTCGCCTACCAGGGGCCATTTCACGTCGCGGGCTCAACATCTTAAGTTCCGACTTTGTTCACAAACCCACGCGTTAATTTAGTCTCTTAATATTGCACCTTCCCAATCGCATATACTTGACTTTAATCTACGGGTATATGAAGAGATGGCGTTCGATTACCACAGCTATCGGTTGTCATAGCTCTCTTGGGCACAGCCACGGCAACCACAAAGATCGTGATGTTGGTTGAGTACGGATAAACCCAAGAGATTCTCATTCTTTTCAAATGTTGAGGAGTCTGAGATTGAAAGTTCTATTGGAATTTGGTGCGGAATACCCTAATATTATATTTCCACACAATCACCATCTCATTGGTACAAGAATTGCTTCGTGCATTTCGATTAGCAGATACTAGCAGCCACTTTACTACCTCATGAATGGACACATGACATGGAAAAAAAACCCACGCTTGAAGCAAAATATATGGGAAATGGGGTTTGCAGGTATGTAGATGTTGGCTATGGCTCCGATGGTGTTCTTCACACCCTACCAACATAATAAAGTCCTTGGCGAGCCGTTGGTTCGCAACTTAACCCACGGAATCGGGGATACTGCTCGTGACATCCTCCAATCAGCGTTGAACAGATCGAAGAATGTTTGAGGGGCCTGGGGAAGGTTCCAGGGTGAAGGTGTCTTTTCCGATACGGTCGCAGTTCAATCTGATGCGGCACAAGACGACCCCGTCCACTAGGTTCTATGTCTTTCGCCATTTTGCGATATTCGAGTCCGAAAACCTACAACCCCCTCCAAATCACCTCAACACAAAATTTCTAAATCATGCTTAAAGAAGAGATCTACGATCTTCATCCTCACGGTTGGGAGAACGACCCGGAAGTGGAGAGATTCAGAGTTTCTACCCTAGATTACTTAACGTGTCAAACATACAACCACTACGCCGTATTCTTCCGCCTAGACGATGCCGCCAAAACAAAAGTGATCGAAGTTCTGAAAGCAGGCCTTGAAAGGACGGTTGCTCAGGTCCGCCAGTTGAACGGAAGAATCGAGAAAGACCCTTGGGGCGACTACTCCTTCACCAAAAGAAAGGACTCAACCGTCCGCTTCGTCGTTCAATGGCTTGATGCCCCAGAGGATGCCGACAAGTATCCGTCCTTCGACGACATCGAGAAAGCCAACTTTAGCGCTGTATCCCTCGGAGACCTCAGACTCTGGGCTGTGTTGCCGATGACCTATGGCGAGAGGCCCGAGGCTACTCCGGAGCAGAGTCCTGTCACGGCGGGCTTCAAGGCAAACTTCGTACGCGGCGGGCTCGTCTTCAGCACGCACCACCATCATTACTCCCAAGATGTCATGGCCTGGGCCGGCTTCATCCATCAGCTTGCCGAGAACTGTTCCGCGTTCAGTAATGGCACTCCCCACCCTTCGTGGGACCCGGCCTGCAATGATGTCTCTCGCTTTCTTAAGCCCGAGCCTCCAGAGGAAGACAAGGTCGACGGGCCACCGCCGCCTGATAGACATCCCGACCACAAAATCGGAATATGCCTTCTCTTCCATCTACCAAAGAGTAAAGCTGCTCAGTTGAAAGCGCTTGCAAAACCCGAGGACGGTACATGGATCTCGACTTACGACGCCTTTTCCGCCTTCATGTGGCGGCACATGACACGTCTTCGAGCCCCGGTATTCAAGACTCCGCCAGACTCAAAGCTCTTCTGGTGCGAGACCATTGACATGCGCCGACGTCTACACAGCCCAAAGGTGCCCGCTCGCACTCAGCAAAACGTCATGTACGTGGCCATGTCTACGACCGCATCCGTGGAACAACCCACGGTATCGGAGCTCATCTCAGACTGGCCGTTCTGGCGGGTAGCTCGGTACGTACGCCAACTGACGGACAGCGTAACGCAAGAAAGTCTTGACGAAACGCTCAAGATGGTGGCGACGATCCGCGACAAATCGAGTCTCAACTCGAGAATAGATTCGCACCCGCCCATGTCGACCATTGTGGTAGACCACCGTGACGCCAACATTCCTTCGGCAGACTTTGGCTTCGGGAAGCCTGCGACTTATCGATACCTAATGGGTCGGGTTTCTGAGGGCGGCGTTCTTGTTTACCCGCCTCGGGATCCGAGGCCTGAGTCAGACGAGGGTCCGGAGATTGCCATTATGTATGAGAAGGGCTTGGCTCAGGCGCTCATCGATGACCCTGAGTGGAATGAGTTCTTCGAGTACAGGGGTGTTGATGCCGAGCATACCGAAGCGTAGATGAGTTAGATACCTATGAAATGCGGTGTTCAGCTTCTTCTGTGTAAATTGTATGAACCATTATCAGCTTTTCAAGCTGTTGACTCGGTATCATCTCAGTTTCGATGAGAAAAACCAAGTTGTGCAACAGTAATCCTGTTTCCAAGTCAACCCGGCCTTTTTATCATATGTCATGATCTCCATGTCTCACTTGAGCTTGTTTAACATACTCAAGGACATCTGACCCATGTCGCGTAGCTCAGAACCAAAGTACCTAGTATGTCCAAACCGAGGTAAGTACAGCAAATCCTGATATTGAGGAGATCTTGAGGGAACCAATATTTCACCGTAGAGGTATGAAGAAGTCCCAGTGATGATTCCTCACGATAAACACAGCTCCCACGTGAGACGATGGGTGCTGACACACGCACAATCTCAGCTTAGGAATCGGCGCCTCCACTCTGACATGGCGGCATTGGTTCCGACGGTCTCCACAACGGAGCGGGACGCATCTCACCAAGCAAAGTCACCGTCTTATCAAATACCGACATGGTACTTAGCTAAGCCGCCAACGTCTGCCCCATCTTGCCATCGCCAAGTAGGCAGGACGTCATATTCTGCATCTCTGCGTCGGCGGGGCTGGGGAAACGAGATGCTGCAGCTTGTCTATCTTACTCATTGCTTTGCTAACCTTGCTTGCTCTGCGTTAGGTAAGGTAGATTCTTCTCGGTCACATCGAATTTGTCGAGCTTAGTCAAGCCCACGCATCGAATACCTTCAGGCTCCCAGCAACGAGATCTCGGAAGAAAGACCAATTCCATAATGGAGACCGGATTTACAGAGAAGAACGGCAATACTCACCTTTCTCCGCAATCTCAATATGCGGGTGTGGGTCGCACCGAGCGGAGTTCCACCGCGAAGCAACCCAGGACCGCTCGGTAAGCGTGAACCACCCAATGACAAACATCGCAAACTACCGAAGAAGCTTGACGGGCTCGCTGTGGCATTGGATGAACCAGGGGAGCTTACTAAGGTGCAACGTCTTGGTTACCGAATGCTTGTCAAATCCCATGCGCCTTTTCCCCATCGTCGACTTCAGCATGTTTCCTAATGGGGGAATTTCCTATCAAGGAGGGACAGGCAAGGCTTTGACGATGCCCTGAATCTTGCATATGAACGATTCAGAAGGGTTCCCTATGCTGATGGGATTCGGATCTATTGGAAACCCCACATGTCGATAACGTGCTTGGCTTGGTCATTGACAGCCACGCAGTCGTCCACGATGCTGGATGAACGGAGTCTACTCCGAGATGAGGGACCTTGGCTACTGAGGTTCCTCTCACTTGAGAGCTTGTCTGCTTCCGCTATGTCTCGTCAGAGCTCTGTATAAGAAGAGAGAAGGGCCTTGCCTCTCATCACCACTTTTCCTTCCATCCTCATCCAGCAGACAATTCAAGAACAGTCTCCTTCATCTCAAAGATCCAACCATCTCTCCAAAGGACCAGACCTCAAGACATCCTCTCTAAGATGAAGTTCTCCATGACTGTCGCCGTCTCGGCGCTCTTCTCCGCCGTTGCCAACGCTGATGGTAAGCTTCCCACCCACTGACTTGATCTCAAGTCTCCCCAGATACAGCACAGCTTTACTAACACGAGTAAAAGCCGTCCCCTGGGAGAGGCTCAACAAGAACGACTCGATGTTGCTCGTCGTCGACATGCAGGAGGGTCTTTTCAACCTCGCCCGCGACTTCGACCCCACCCTCTACCGCAACTCGATGCTCGCTCACTCCTCCCTGGCCAAGGTCTTTGACCTCCCCGTCGTTCTGACCACCTCCGCCGAGACCGGTACGAGTCCTTGAACCCCATTCCATATGTTGCTTTCAAGATTCTGACAAACAAAAATAACAGGCCCCAACGGCCCCCTCCCCCAGGAGATCCTCGACATGCACCCCACCGCGCCCCTGATCAAGCGCAACGGCGAGGTCGACGCCTGGGACAACGCCGACTTCCGCGACGCCGTCCGCGCCGCCAACAAGTCGCAAATCATCCTCGCGGGCATCACCACGGACGTCTGCACCACCTTCCTCGCCTTGTCGCTCCGCGCCGAGGGCTACTCCGTCTGGGCCAACGTCGAGGCCTCGGGCACCACCACCGAGCTCATCCGCGACGTCTCCAACGACCGCATGGCCGCCGCCGGCGTCCAGGTCGTCTCCCTCTTCTCCATCTCCCTCGACCTCATGCGCGACTGGCGCAACACCCCCGGCGCCCTCGAGCTCTTCTCCTGGCTCGACACCTACTACCCCGCCTACGGATACATTGCCCGCGGCCACCGTGCTGCCGTTAACAACGGTTCCGTCTCCGCGGCTCAGGAGACTCTGCCTCTGTAAGACAGAATTGAAGCATACAGTGGGGTGTACTCCGGGTTGAGAGTGGGAGGATGGTATGATTCCCGAAAATAATGACCGTGGAAAATATTGGTTAGTCTCAAGACGCTCGGCATGGTTCCTTGTATTTCATCTTCTTGTCTCTCATTGATGAGCCTCCGCGGCTATTATAGAGATTGGCATCTTCTTGGTGTCGTTGTTTCGCAACCTTTCAAAATGGGCTCAAAATGGACAGAATAGAGAACTTTTGACCGATCTCGTCTCCTACATGATACGAAAAAGTGAGCAAAGGCTGCCTATTCTCGTTCTTGGAGCCGACCATGGAATAGCAAAGACATACAAAACCCGCCCATCGTATACCATGACTTGTGGTGAACTAACTCAGTCTTATACCAACAGACCGTTTGCAGATCATCCTGAGTGGCCCAGTCCCCCGACTTCTCACATCCCAAATAGGCAAGTCGCGGGCCACACGGCCCCGAACACACGGACCAACACGGGGCCGGTCAAGTGGATCCCCTACGCCGGGACCAGATGCAGAACGCAACGTCTTCTTCCGGGGGTTGATAAGTGGGAACATTGACGCGGCCCGATGAAGCGGTCCACAGGCAGGGCACTGATCAGTGATCAGCGGTGAGCTGCGTGCGGTTCATGTAGGTTTGACAACCGCCGCGGATGCCGGAGAGGAGTTTCCACGCGAGAAAGAGGCCAGGGATCCGTATGCGGATGGAGCAGCACCGTTAGGTCTCTCAGTATGTGCGTTATTGCTTTTGACGGATACGGAGGGTGACGGGTGGAAAGATCTCGATGGTTGGCATGTATGCCTCACAAGGGCTGTTCACAGGCGTATATTGGATTCCGGCTTCACTTTCAGCTCAGGGGGAAATGGCGTTTGCGGATATTGTGCCTGACCGCCATGCATGCCTCTGAGCGCCATCCGTATCAAACTTACGGCCCGCTCAGGTACAGCCTCATGATAGGATCTTAAACAACACGAAGACTACCGTTAGTTGCGAGAAACATTAGACGCCAAAGACCAATCCTCGTCAAGGCAAGGCTTTCTTTCCAAGCGGTGGACAGAAGAAAAGGCGGTGGCCCTCCCGCATCATGCCAACGTTCGTCCCAAAAGCAAACGACTTTGGGTGTGGTCGATGCGTAACGCCCTCAACGGCGCCCCATATTCACCCATAGACAACACGTCACTCATCGTAGCACAAAGAGCGGATAGGAAAAAAGAGAAGAAAAGACTTGGCCTGCCTGACGATGGTGTTTCGTTCCCCTGACGATCCGGGCGTACTCGATCGAAGACAACGCAGTGGTGCATCTGCCAGTTGGCGGCCGTGACAGGGGTTTGTTGTCGCAAACAGGACCCCAAGGGCCCAAATTGTCTAGACTCTGGAATAGTTTGGAATGGAGATGTCTTGTTTTCGACTTGCTTTTTTGCTGTCTAAGGTAAGTCAGGTTTGCCATGGGTGATTGTTCTGCCCCTTGGCGGATGTGTGTCATGAGACAGCTGGTGGAGAGCCCGAGAGACAGTTCATTCTCCGATGCCAAGGATTCTCAGACAATTTTGTAGAAGTAGACGCATCGGTCATTTTTTCAGCATTTGTATCCGTACTATTGTCATTTATTCTCAAAAAGATTTTGTGATTATATCGAAAGCGGTGAACACGGGTGCCATATGCAGCTGAGTTGAAGAGGTAAGTATCGATGGATGGATAGAGGGGTGGCAGAACCCAAACCTGAACTCGACAGGGGTGCTTAGTTTCTTTCTAAGGGATGCGGTTTCAGCTTGCGATGCTTCTGGGCGTTTGCTCTTGCTTTTTGCCTGATTCTCTTTTTTGGCCTTTTCTTTTTTCCTTCGGGATGCAAGCTGCACGATCGCGGGCGAATCGGGGAGGCACCCAAGCACCCCCCCGCTCCAACCTTCAGCTTGGGGTTGGCACTGGACGTCTGTCACGGCGGTATGATTTGGTTACACACACCATACTGACACGGCAGAGACACACCGCATACCTTATTTCGGATTCCCCATGCCTGCGTAGCCGGTAGCGCACGTAAGGCGAGGTACCTGTATCTTTGGGGGAGTCCTTCCTGCAACCCTAACGCGGAAGAGCGGGATGGGTGGCAGCTATGGGTTGTGGCGTGTGCATTACGGCGCTCATGGCGGCCCGCTATCGGATTTGATGCAGCGGGACATGGGGAGCGGGCAGCAGACCGGGGGTGGTAGAAAGAGAGGTGAAGCAAGCACTGAAAGGGTGCCGGCGCATGCAGCGATAATCAAGAAATCTGCGTCTGGCTTGCATGAGGTGCATGAGGAAGGGAAATCGCGGTGTGCAAGATGCAGAGTAAGTCTGCGACCGACGAAAACCTTCTTCTTTTCGCATCCACCACATCACCGATAATTTCCATGGGTGAGTGAGTCACAGACTGATGAAGGGGATAGAGATGTGATTGCGACGCGCACGCAACAAACGGATGAGACGAGTAGACCTACACGGTTTGATATTCAAACGGTGATGGTAGACTGGATTGGCCATCACATTGTACAAAACTCGCCCAACAGAGGGCGAGCATCACGAAACTCGAGCGATGCGCCGGACCGTGATTGGAGCGCGGCCCCTCGCACGCGTCCGACCAGTCAGGTCCCGAGCGCCGGCCATGGGACGCGGTCACCCAGACACTTTTCCTGTGTTGCACACCAGTATTTGAACTTTGCGAGTGCTATTGGCATCCGTTAACTGTGATGAAGTGTGTGATGTGATGGGGAGGCGCCCGACTGAATTCGCGCCGCGTTCCAGAGATGGTGATTATCAACTTGTATTGTCATCTACACTTTTACCGTGTGGGGGTTTATTAGTTGTAATAGGCGATGGTGGGATGAGTGTCGCGAATCGCGGCGAAGCCATTTTGAATGATTCTCTCATTACGATGCTCTGTGATTGTCTTGACGGGTGGATGCGATGCTCGGAGCAAAGACCGTCGAGAATAGGGTGGTATCTCGATATGACACCGAGGGGTGTGCTCTGTACGATGCCCATGTTGCTTAGATTGGGCTCCAAAGTGATTGGTATCTTCACCTCATTATACCTTAATTATGAGCTGACCAAATGATTGTCGTGTAAGGCGGCTATGGTGTACGAAGGGGGAGGAGGGGTCAGATAGAGGGGGACATGCTGGCGTGCTCGTCACTCCGGAGCCCGGCTCCGGAGGGGTAAGGTAGACAACCCAAGGCCTGGAATGCACGATATCTCAGGATCGCCCATCTCCCGACAGCGGGCCAAAACGTCTAGATTACGGTATTACCGCTACAGACACCGCTCAGTGCCCAGTGACCGCTGCCACCTGAAGCACGCAACTGCGTGGCTGCGTGGCAGGCAAGGCAGAGGCAGGCTGGACACCTGCGAGATGCTGCCCGCTGCTCGGCGGTGATGGCCGGCACCCAGACCCAGGCCCGTGGGGTTTCGTCCTTTGGCTATGGGTGTGTCTTCTGCACCTCTGCTTTTCTGTACTTCTGTAATTCTGTAATCTCGCAAGCGTTGGGATCGACGAGACACTGCGGTCGCGCAGAGATTCCCCGAGTTGCCCCGGGTGGGTTCTAGGTCTCTCTAAGTCTCCAAGACCGTTCCAGCCCCTGTTCACTCTGTCAGTTGTCATATTTCTTGCAGATACTGCAGGTCTTCTTTTCTTTCTTGTCTCCCACATTCAAATTTGGTTGCTATTCCTGCCCGATCAATCTCCCCCTTTGCGTTGCCCTGCAGCACACGCCACACCCCTCAAGACCCAGGAAAAAGTCCCAAGGCATGCAATGTTTCGACCCTGATGGGTGTTTGGCATATGGCGGTGACGATGATGTAACTTGTAGGTTGAGAAAAAGGGCCTGGGCTTTGGGAAGGGCGGGGGGCCCGCAAGCCGCAGCCGCCGTTGGGAGAAGAAATGATGAATAGCAGGAAAACAGGTGTATGCAGCCACAAAAGCAAGCTCTGACGAACGACTCTTCCGATCAAGATTTTGGTTGCAAGAATTGCCAATATTGGGTTGTTCGATACGAGGGGGCTTTACCGCCTCCGGGCTTCGGTGGCAGAATACATACCTACGTAAGGCAGGTTGGCGGTAAGGTATGAGAAGAGGGGTGGTCAACAAACGCATCACATCACCCAACAACAACACATAACCACCAAAAACACCAAACCCCCCACGCTCACTCTCCCCACCGCCGTCTCGTCGGTGAAGGAAACAGTCACTGACAACGAAACCCCCACCAGCACAGCCAGCGCTCGCTCAAAGACGTCGCGAACGAATGGCGCGCCCACGCGCAGGCTTGGTTTGTATCCGTATCGTAGTCAGTGGTCCAACGGAACCCCCTCGCCCGGGCGGACCTTTGCTTGGGGCGCCGGGGCTTACGGGGGATTCGCATCGCAAAAAGAACAGACGTTTGCTGTTCAATCCTCTGTGCCTCTTTATGGAGTTCACTACACCCCCAAACACCCCCAGATATCAAAAATAGGTAAACGTGATGGCGTTTTTGCGCTTGCGGACGGAAAGGCACGGGATCCTCGAGCGCAAAATCCGTGCAGAGGATCTTCAGCTCAAGCTCAGCTCAGCCCAGCTCACCCCCCTCTCTATCTCCCCCCTCCTGATAAGCGGAGGGGAAAAGAAGGAAGAGGCGTCGCTGGCTGTTTGTCCCGTTTGTTTGAAGTGTAGGCGTGGTGGTGCCACCGCCCTCCATTCCAATCCATCGACAAAAGGTTTGAAAATAGCAATGCCAGCAGGATGACAGCATACGAGAATATTGATTCGTGATGGGAGTGTCACCGTACACTTACAGATACGAAGCTGCGCGGTGAGATAAGCCCGGTCCGTATCGGCCCCGGACACCGGTGGTACCTAAAACCCCACGCGCACCACTCACCGTAAATGTCTTGGTCGGGCGTGGACGTCGGGTGGAATATCTCGTATCTTATCTCGGAAAGGCCCGAGAGCTGCGAGAGCTGCGATAAGAGGTGCGGTAACGGCGGATAGAGTGATCTTGACGTTTTGGTAGCTGTCGATCCGTTTAGACTGGACTGAACCTGCCGTTTCGGGCAATTTACTACGACCCGACGACTCTGCGACCCCTCCAACGGCCACGTTTTGTCCGGGAACTTCGAAGACACGGTTTACTGGGGGGTCGTCCGTCAATCGTGCATGTGCTTCCTGCTGGTGCTTGCGTAGGCGGAGAAAGAAAACGGCGGATACGGATACTCTCATTTTGAGTTTCTCGCCTTGAGGTCTTGGCAACTGAAGAATGCGGATGAACCGTTCCGTCCAATGCTCTGTGGATTTTTACGGATACGGGTTCCAGACTTGAGTCTGTAGACTCGTAGACAGACACCGCGGTCCAGTTCTTTCTTCCTCTCGCTTGTGCTTGTGCTTGTAGCAGATCACTGGTGACTGGGTTCCTCCAAAACGCCAAACGGAACCCCTCCCGAAACCTCTGATCGGACGGCAGACGGGTCTCCGAGAGCGAAACGAAGGAGCCCAAACGATGGATGTGCAACGTGGTTTGGATCGAGGAAACACAGAATGTTTGCTCTGTCGGCTTGTCTTGCATCTTTCGTCTCTGATTGTTCTTTGTTCCCACTCATTGCTGAGCTGAGTTATAGGTCACCCCGAGAAATAGGTATCTGTAAGCCTGTGAGGTAGGCAAAGAAAGGAAAACAACACAGCCGAACCCAGTTCGTCTTTGAGCTGTATCCAGAGGCGGGGTTTGATGTCACACAGCAAGTTGCAGACGGCGTCAGAGTTGGTCGCCGGGTTTACGTTCAGCCAACCAACCAAACCAACAGGAATAGCGACGTTTGATTCCGATTGGGGAATCCTGCCCGGTGTGTGTCGGTGTAACGGAACTACACAAACTGTGTGTGGCTTGAACGCCTCGGGTTTCAGACCCGGGCAACCAACAGCCAACAACCAATCCGCCGTCCCGGTTTTCCCCAGGTTTTGCCATCCTTTGAAGTTCAAGCCAAGTTTTTTTGCGCGCTCTTGTGAATGGTGTACACTAGTCAGTCTCCCGAAAAAGAACGTCAGTTCCCTTGGGGCCAGTGCTTCAGGATGACGGCGGAACGACGATGGAAGCGTGGTTTAGAGAGAAAAGTTCTGTGCGGGTGGCCAATTCGCGTGGCACGCCTTGTGGAAGTTTTCCTGCGGATACACCCCCACATGCTCGAATCTTGATTCTAGTGTACTACTTCCCGTATATTGCCAGAGATTGGCAACTTTGTGGAAAGAACCCACGTTTGCCGGCCGGGAAAAGAGACAAAATTGAGGGTCGTTTGATATCTTGACAAAGAGAAGGAGAGAAGGAGGGGGCGTGTTGAAAAATTTGAACAGAAATTTCATCGTTGTGTGAAAGGGTCCCGGATGATGGAACGGGAAAATGGACGATCAAAATTGTTCATCATGTCAAAAGACTGAAGTCATAGTTGACGTCGAAGCTGCAGTTCAGGGAATAACTGATTCAGGTGTTCGCGTTGCGTCCCTGAAATTCACAAGCTTTTTGGGTGACGATTGCCAGCGTTTGCGCTTGAGGATGCCCTTTCGGACGACTTTGCCCGCCTCTTCCAAGGTTCTTCTGGAAAAGAATACGCTGTACTGACAAAAAAAGGTTGTGGTTGGGTTGCGCCACACGCGATTCATGAGCCACCCGAAGTCGAAGAGAGGCCGGAGAAAAGACCGCGATATGAAAAGACTGAGGGACTGAGAGGTGTGTGCGTCGGAGATTCTCCGACTACCACATTGACTTTGACCTACGAGAAAGTAGGTGTCTCCACGACTCGAGTTTACCGAAACGACACCGAGACGAAGATTACGCGGTACCGCGGTCTCGACGCGCAAAGTGCTTGAGTGCCAAACCAGACGGCTGGGCTTTGGGGGGATCAAAAGTGGAGCAATACCGGCATCTTCGACCACTTGGATGAATTTCTCCAAGGCGGAGAAACTCTGACAGCACTTTAGAAGCCACATGGAAGAATTTTCCCTACAAAGGAATTTTTCTTGCCGGACCGGGGGTGTGTAGGACCTTTGCGGAGAGAGACTCCGAGAGGGGGAAGGTAGAGCTCTTTCCTCTGAATCGTTCATTTGTCACCAATCAAACTCGCTGTAATGCCGAAGAAGAGCCTCGGAAAAGCGGAGCTTCTGGTCAAAGAAGGGCCTTCTTTTTGCTTTAGCTATCGGGGTGTCTTTTTTTGAAGCATCTAAAGCTTCGAGAAGGCCGGGTGTTGAAGCTTGGTGACGGGGAATGATTCGGCGGGAAAAGAAGCACCGAGACCAAAAGAGAGGCGCCGAACGGAGCGGGTGAATGGATACCGCTTATCAGAATTTTTTCTGCATATGGGGTTGAGACGGGATCGTGAGAAAAGTTGAGAGGCAGGGAGAGTACCGTAGACAGGGTCTTTTTGCTAGACACTGTTGATGTCTGTCAAAAGGACCGTTGGGTAAAAGTTACCTACCTAGTCCTGACTCCTACCCATTCTCCTTCCGCATTCTTCGAGAATTCGAACGAGACTTCATCCATTTGGTTAATGAGACTCCCTCTTCTCTCTACACTAGCAAGCAGACCTGGCAGAAAAAGCTTCCAGAGCTTCCTAAAGTGCTCCATATCTCTTCTTTTCCCCCTCTTCCTAAATTCAAGCTAAGAGTAATCCCGCCGCTGATAACCCGTGAGACCCTCTTTTTCCCATGTGGACTTGGGTTATTCATCTGGCAGAATTTTGCACCAAGGAGCTCCCTGCTCTTTGGGCTAGAGCTCCTCACAAAGTCCCCAGTCTCCATGATTGCTGACTCCACCGCCCATGAGGAGTCCATGACAAAACAGGAAAGTGTGCAAAGACCGGAAAAGGTCTAGAGCCCTCTCCAGACCCCGGGAGCGATCGTCCCGTCGTCGGTGTCGGTGGGGAACTGAGAGAAGAGATTTGACACGTTGGGATTCGCCGGGGCATCCCGTTTGGCTCCCGAAATTTGCCAATCACCTTTTTCCGTCTCGACTCCAAGAGCTCCGCTCAAGACTCTCCAAGCTACTCCACCGTCCACGGCTTCGAGGCAAGACAAGGGAGGGGGGAGTGGTGTTTGGATAAATGGTGAGCCCCCCGTCAAACCGCAAGAACGAGGTCTAGGCGCCGGGAATCCATCCCGGTGCAGGGACCCTTCCATCAGGACTCCACCGTTCCCAGGTTTTTGCTGATTGCCAATGCCATGCTCTCTGGTACTCTGCCACGCTGCCACGCTTTCCACTGGAGTCGCTTGGGTCCAGGAACCCAAAGGGCGGGGACTGGGAGAGGAGGAGCCGAGAAAAAGAGAGAGGAGCAAACCCACCCGTCCAGGCTCTAAGCCGTTGGATGAGGGATCGTGGCAGGGTCTTCGCTGGAACCCCAGCCGACGGTCAAAGGGGGTCGTCTACGGATGTTGTCCGCGCCGTTCAATACTGTCCTTTTCTCCTTGCTGCTCTAGGATGATCGGAATTGAGAGACGAGAGAGCCGCGCCGCCGCCTCTCCATTGCGGGACCGCGGTGTGCACAATTCCGCAATCGCGGCAAGGGATTTTCCAAGGGTTCGGTTCCCTCGCGGCCGTAAAAACGTAGGTCTTGGAGTTCAAAACGGAATGCATTGGCCCCAGTTTATTACTGAGAATGGCAACGCGGTTTGCCTATCGGAGCATCTGGACTTCGATTATCCCAGCCAATCGTATCGTCTCCATTCAAATAAGTTGGGACAAGAAGTTACCCCGCGACTAACGGAGCTGGTCCGCTGGTCTTATCTGCATTGCAGCGAGCGTAATCGCACGCAATGCGGGGAGGGTCCTGTCCTGTCCTTCTCTCCCGACCTCACCCGCATTATAAGCAGCCCTATCACTTATGTCGGGAGTAGCTTTCACGATAACCGGTAATAAAGCCTAGCAGACTGGACTGAGCTCTTCAACGAGAATCCGCGGAGTGCGGAGCCGCAAGCGCAAGGAGGGTAATCATGTCCGGTTTCGCAGAGGGACGCAAGCCATTTAGGAACCTTTCTTGGAATGACGGCGCTCCCTTCCAGATGGTCGGCGTCTTCACCTCCGCAGGTTATCACTGAGGGGGTGTCAAGACATCAGTCTTGAGGTCGGTCTCGACGAGATCAGATCAGATCATGAACAATTCAAATTGTCGATGATTCTGGCTTTGTCCCGTTGACGACACCGTACGCAAGATTGTCTTTCAATGTGAAGATCCCAAAAGGTGTGGCTGAAACCGTTAAGAAAACGCAGTAAAGATCTCTCAAGATCCCCCCCAAAGATCCCCCCCTCACGCCATAATCTGCGTTTCCCCCATCTTGGTGCTTGCCAATCTCAGGTGTCAGGCAAATCTCAAGATCAACCCCTCGTGATGCCGACAAAGCAAGTGACTCACTCAATACTCCCCAAAGTCATCAACATGACAATTACGAACATCTGTAAGGATCCAACTATCTTGCATCTTGTCTACACCCCTCCCCCTTCCCCATTCCCAAAACTCCTCCGCACTCCGGGGCCGAGTCCGAAAGATTCCGTCCCCCGGTGGTGAGAAGGTGGACCATCTTGCGTCTTACCCGACTCTCCGCATCTCACCCGTAGGGCCGCAGGAAGTTAGGAACGATACCGTCATCGAGCCAAGGCATTGCAATCTCTACAGCTTGAACTCAAACCCCAGACTTTGCTGCCGCTCCCTCTTCCTTTCCAAGTTTCCCCGGGGCCTCGGTATGCCGCGTCTACAATGCGTCACAGTTCGTTCCTTGGCTTCCCGAACAAGAGCGAAAAGGAACCGAACGTCACTGAACTCTACCTGTCAAAAAGAACATCCCGCGGCACAGCAATATCCCGACCATCAAAAGAAACCGGAAAGTTGGTTCCTCGGCTTCCTCAAAGCCAAGGTAACAACCTCCCGAGAAGCGGTAGCTAGTTCAGCCCTTCAGCTGCCGTATTCAACTCCCCCGCTGATCCAAACCCCCGGATTTCCGATCCATCCCGATCCTTCGTCAAACTCCTATTGAGTACTCCGTATGATCCAGAGTCGAAGAAAGAAACGTGTCTGTGCCTGTTCGTATTAGCGGCATCCGGTTCCTCCAAGCGACACCGAACAGATACTCCGTACGCAAACAGGGTCAAAGCCAAGCGCCTCCCCGCAAGGGTCCTTGTGAACCTTTTTGCCGCGGTCGGTGTCGGTGTCGGTGGATGAAAGGCCGCCTGCTAAAGACAGCGAGTGCCGAGGCTTGTGGCTTTCTGTTCATGGGGTACCGACGCCACAATCGAGGCCGCCCATCTGCTAAGCCACAGACCCCAGGAAACCTTACCTAAGCCTTGAGTGTACTCCGTAGACGCCACATTACACGCTCGCCCCGTATTCGAACACAGCTCCCCCAAAATGGTCCAAAGATCCGAAGATTGCAATGGAGACACGCAATCCAGACATCGATCTCGGTAGAATTTACAGCCCTCCCTTTCCCTGTGTCCCCCCCATAGTAAAACACCCAAGAATAGAGATGATTTTTGGGTCACCCTCTCTGGAACCTCTGGCCCGGGTCCTTGGAAAATTCGTAATGCGCCGAAGGCCTGGAATCAATAATCTGGGGGTGGAAAGTGAGGCTGTGTCTTTCGGACGGAGCAAACGGCATGACGGGGTCTGTGTCTTCCAACTGGATCCCTCTTGCCAAGTTGCCAGCAGCGCATATCCCAGGGCTTACAAGTTCCATACCCGCAAAAGTTCAAGCGAATAGTCCACCCGCCGGGGATTCTCAACGGGAATTGTTGCTTGGAAAGAAAGCACGAGACTCTCGAATGATTACCTAAGGCATAAGGTACTGACAGGGATGGATCTCCCGACGGTTCCCGACCGTTTCTGTGAGGGCTCCTATTACCCATAATGTCAGCCAGACTTTACAGTGCAAGGCAGTCACAAGCCGCAACACCGTCGGCTCTGCCTCCGTCTCTCCCCCAACCAGCCCGAAAAACCCCAACACACTTTCGCACAATACCGGTAACTGCTCGCATAGTTCCGAAAAGCCAGCGAGACAATACGATAGTAATGACGACATGATTTTTTGTGGCTAGAACAACCACAAGTCCACAACACACAACAAAACTCACAAGAGCAGAGAGAGCAAAAAACAGGGTAACCCTTCAGCCCCCGACCGACTGGTCGCCGACTGGTCGGCGCCATCCACTCTCCCAGCTCCCACAATAATTCCTCATCTTGATTCCAGACCCGCGGTTGGACTTTGTCAGCGACCGAAGGCAAGGCAAGCAGCAACCCTACAAGCCACACACACACAGTCCAACCAGCGCGCGGTACTCCGTAGACACATCAGCAACCAGAATCTAAGCAGGTTGGGGGTTGCCACATGCTTACGTGCGCTGCTCGTAAAAAGTATGACTCTATGGTTGTAGTTCTGCATGCCGGAACGGAATTTACGGAATGACTCTGACATTTTCCTGATTTCAAATGCTGTTTGCCCTCGATGCACGAATGCACATGTCATCAATAAATGCATCCTATAGCGACAAGAAGGCGATGCATGCCTGAGTCACCAGGTTACAAATCACTAGGAAGCGAATAGATGGATGCAAATGTCTTGTGATGAAGAATAGAATCAAATGTTGATGTCGCGCGTGGCGAAGGGTATCTCGTACTAAATACTAACTAACTAACTAATGCGAAGCCTCGTGTGGGCAAAATGTTGTTCCTATGCTCAAGTCCCCGGTGATGCGGATGCAAAGTCCTGTGAAGATGGTGCTGTGATGCCATGCTGCCCCCAATAACCCAAAAGTCGATCCGTTGATCGACATGAAAAAACAAACTCCATGCGACAAATACTAGCTGGGCTACCTCGGTGGGCCACAGCAAAGGGGGTATCAACATGAAAAGACAATGAGAAAAATAGTAAATAGGGTGATGCAAGGCATGTGAAATGCCAGTGCCCAAATGATGAGTCCACGAGGACCAGGTATCGATTGCAACGTAACGAGGCAGCCGACCTGTAAGTCCTCTCACCTGCCACACCAGCCATTGCCGGGTGACTCTTGTTCGGTGGGTGGCCGATACCGCCGTGCGTGTGTGAGTGTGGCTGAGACACACTGCTGTAGGCTGCCCCCCCACGATCGGCTTTGATTGTGCTCCCCCACACGGCGTTCCGAGTCGCCCCGTACAGTGATGAGCAAGCCGAAAGATGGATGATCGATTGCAAGCCTGTGATGTAAACCAGGCCGCGTTGCACACGAGGCCGAGGCCAAGGTGGTTGAGTTGCCAGAGGCGTGTTTGTGTTTGAAGACCAGAGACCTAGACCGTCGGAGCATATTGGATGTTCTGGGTCAGAGCCGTTCTGATTTGGTGGTCTTTGCCGGCGCCATGCTGTAAAGGCTGCCGATATTATGGATTAGGGTTTGTCGAGGTGTGTCGGCGAGCTAGAGTATGCTCGTCCGAACAATAGATGGTTGCGCGTTGCCACATGCCAGGTAGTAAAGAGCTTGCAGCTTTATCGTGGGAAGCTCTCACTCGGCGATGGGAGTCATGGAGGCGAGCTTGTTCTTGGGGCTCTTCTTAGAGCTGCCGCGTCGTTGCGACTTCTTTTGCTGGAGAGCTGCTTGGCGACGACGTTCCTTCTCGGCCATGACGCAGCGGAGGGCCTCGCGCTGCATAGCCATGCGTTCGCGTTCCATCTCGAGGAGCTCGACCTCGGAGATCTGGGGAGAGCGGGAGTTGGGCGAAGAGAAGCTGCCGTGGCTGGAGACGCTGTGGGAGTCGTCCTCGAAATCCTGGGGGAAGAGGTCCTCGTCGGAAAGGTAAGAGGTGGCTCTGGGTTCGCCGTCAAAGTCGGCGAGGGTATCGCGGCGTGGCCAAGAAGGGAAGGCGCACGACCGGTCGTGGGCGAGCATGTTGCTGGGAGAGATATCGATGGGGGCGGTCATGGAGACGGAGCCCATGGAGCTGTATGAACCGTATGAGCCGTACATGGCTGCGATGTGTAGACAGATGTTGAGTGTTGAAAGGTCTTGTTCGTATAAGACTTCAGAGTTGTGGATATTGTTGTTGATTATCACGGACTGGAAGAGTGTGGGAGGAGGTGGACACGGGAGACTTATAAGTCCCAAGGGGCGCGTCTGCCTTCCTCTGGTTTTTGGGGGTGTCGGGGGGGGGGGGCGTGTTGCGGGTGTTGGGGGTGTGTGAGAAAAGGGGGTGAGAGTCAACAGGAGGTGCAAGGTTGGGCAGAGCAACGTTCCGAGGAATTTCGGAGAGTGGACCTAGGCCTTTTGGCAAGCCTAAAAGATGGGGGTAACTGCGTTCCCGGTGTCCCGAGGGGGTGGGAAAACAAGGCAAGGGAGGCGGTGACGGAGATGGAAAGTCCAGGTCGGAAGGAAGGGGGGTGTAAATGTGAGTGCTGACAGCGCAGGGGGTGCGGTACCGGTAAAGGCCCCAGAAGGAAAGAGCTGAAGGTGTTGGGCTTGGGCGGAAAGCGGTTGCAGTTGTCGGCAAGGAGGGGGGTGAGCAAGGGGTGTATCTAAGGACGGTAAGGTGAAAAGGGAAAGAAGAAAGGACAAATGTCGGCGACAGGGCTGGCGGTCGCGCGGGAGGAAGACCGTATTCCCAATCCTTGGTACCCTTCAGGCTCAGGCTGGCTGGTTAATTACCTGCTTCTGGTGATTCAGAGTTGGACCGCGGGCCTGGGCTTGGTGACTATTCTCGACGTGGCGTTGCCGAGGAGCTGCTGAGAGTGCTGCTGTTCGAACTATGGAGTCTCGTACCGGTATTTCGTAGTCGTCGTCGGCACTGCGGTAGGGAGTACAGTACAGCCAGTACAGCGGGATTGTATAGGTTCGGATAGAGAGGGTGGATGACAAGAACGGAATATTGGAAATCCTGCTTTTGACCTCTTTCTCTCGGTGATGACTTTTGTCCGTATTTGCACTGCACCCGAGTAAGTCGGATGGGCTGGATTGACTCTTGCCTGCAGCTGCGCGTATCTATCTGTGTATACGAATGGGAGTGGCAGTGTGTGGGTGGTTTCTTTCGGCGTGGGCGGGAAGTGTTGCTGCTGATGGTGGTGTTGGCCAAGATGACGCTGGCGCTGCCTTGCGATGACGCTTGTTATTGCTGATTGCTGGTGGTTGTTTGGTGTTGCTTTTACCGCCACTGGATGGTCGAAACACCGAGATGACTCGAACACGGGCAGAAAGAGTCATGATATATACAACTATACCAGAGTACGGTGTTACATCATGTATAGAGTATCAGTATTGCTTCAATAGTACCTTTTCTGGCATTGTGTCAACTATCAAAAGTGAGAAACATCATGGCGCAAACAAAGCTGAATCGCAATCGCCGCTTGAGTGCCGCGGGGAATGTTCCCATGGGGCAACGGGAATGGAGTTGCGAACGGACGGGCCTGGCTCCGTAGGCGCAAGCGGTCTCCAAGACTCCGACTGGTCCCCAGCCCAGCTGTGTCTACTACCTTACCTTACGCAGTAGTGTAAGTATTCCTACTATAACCAAGTCTACGATCGATATGCAAGGGAGTCGGAGACAGAGCCGGCGATTCCATTCCAGCTGCCGTCCCCAATTCAGATAATCAAATTCAGAGTTTCTGACTCTGCATCGGGTCTCTCCAGACTGCTTTCCGTCTCTTGGTGTCTCGGTGTCTCACATCCTTCAATGGTGATTGTCAACAGCCCCTGTCGGTGCGATTGTGTCGCTTGCCCATCCCCACGATGCAGCAGTGACAAACACGAGGCCGTCCCCCCGTACTGTGATACTGAGGCCGACCTAGAACGGGAGGGAGAGACAACCGGCGCTATTGGCGATGATTGTGTGTGTGATGAGAGGCAGGGGTTTGAAGAGGAAGACTGGACGCCGAGCGACGATACGGAAGAGGCCCGCAGACCGCCGACGGGGAAGCGGCGGGAGCTGTCTGTCTGTCTCACAGCGCACATCTTAGTAGGGGCATCGATTTGGCGATATCGACAGGCCAACAGCGGCAGAGCGGCAGCCAACCAGGCAAAAAGCAAAGAAAACGGAAAATGAATGAGCGGTGTTTGACCGCCTTGTCGGAAGGGGGTGAGGGTGTGAGTCTGTGCCGGGAATCATTGGTCGCGAGAAGAGGGCACCTAGCTACCTACCTTACCTGACCTAGGTACACGGTAACAGGGGAAGAGTCATGATCCAGAAGTACCTCTGCACCCACTTTGGGCAGCCGAGATACTTACAAGGGACCAAGAGAGTTTTGCCAAAAGCTGGTAATCCGCGGGGGGCTACGGATACTGGGGGGCCAGAACAGATGGGCAAAATGCAGGGCATGTCGAGAGCGTTGGAGTTTGGCTCTCAGGCCCTCTAGGCGGTTCGCTAGGGACTCGTCCCCGGTGCCATCAGCAGCAATCACTGCTAATCGCTGCCCCATTCGAGGCCCGACAGTGGCATGAGGCGGGGGCCCTGGGGGGGCCTGTGGCCTGGGGCCAGCCGTTTGAACACCCCCTCGCGGGGCAGGCGCGCTGGGCCGCTGGCTAGGGATCGCCCTTTCCTTCTGTCTGGCCCTGCCGCCTTGGGGCCGACCGTTCAAAAAAGTGTTCTGGCCGGGGGTCTTTTTCTGCCTGCCCTGTCCCGCGCTCTTTCTTCTTGCGTGCCCCTGCCACCCCGCGGAAGGCAGTCTGAGCTGCCCCGGGCCTCGGGCGAGCCCAAAGAACTGGCACGGGCAAGAACCTGAAGAAAGCAGGTACCTTCCTTCCCAGCAGAGGGTAGAACGGCAGGAAGGTACTTTCCTCCTGCCCAGACGGGCGAGACTCGAGAGAGACAGGAAAGAGAAACCTCGGTGCGCTCGGTGTTTCTCCGTCCAGACTTTTTGCGCCGTCTCAAACGGCGGGGGGAGGGCAGAAGGCATTTCTCTCGCTGCATCGAATTTACCCGTCACCCATCTGCCAATTTGGTCTCTACAGTTAGTTTTTTTGGTTTTCGACTCAACACGCGCTACCGCTTCAACCTCTGATTGGACAACCCCCCTCAAATCGTCAATCGCTCGCTGAATCTCTGCAACTTTGACCGAGAATTCGAGTCACAGAAGCGGCCTATCGCATCCGTTTGATTTTGATATTGACATTTCCACTCGCCATCGATCACTGTCGAGTGTCAGTCAGTTACACATAGCATACACCCCCTTGGCTGCTTTTTCTGCTTCATTAACCGACTCATCACATAAAGCAGAACATCTCACCCCCTCATTCTTGTTAGATTGTCGGGTCCCAGCTGCGAATGTGAATCTCCATGCGCCTCGATAGGTTGGAAGCCCCTCCTGGGGAAGCCAAGGATGAGGGGAAGAATCAAAGCAATGCCTAAATGCGCGCCCGCGATTGACTGAATGCATTCGGGGAACTACAGGAAGCACACCGACTTACCGCATACTTTTTGACTTACAACGCCTCACCACCGCCCAGCGATGGTGGACGTCCGATCTTGTTCCTGTTGCAGCGATGACAATACCTTATTACCTTGCCCGGTCAGGTACAGATGCTGTCAATACCAGATTGCATGCACCTCAGGTTGAGGCCTTGTACCCCCATCTGTACTTCACCACAACAACAGCAAGCCACGACACCAACATCAACGCCAACAAATGTCGAGAGCCAAGAGAAAGAAACATGGAAACGATATGTGCCAGCAAATCTGCCGTGGCTGCATCCAGCACATCCTCATCAATCCCACCGCCCAGGTACCTCCCTTCCCCAGGGCTGATGCTGATGGTTCTCTGGGCGCATCGCATCGCATTGCATCCGCGCCCATCCCGCTCCAGTGACGGACGAGAACGGCCACCAACGGAAAGTCAACTAGGAACTTCCGTACTGATCCTTTACCCAAACTTTGCCAATTTGCCCTCTGATGGCATGGAGACCAAAAGGGAGACAAAAAAGCAAACTAAGGCCGCCAGCCAGAACGGCCATTTCCGGACCCCCGGGCTCGCTCACGGCCGTTGTCTCTTTCTTTCCACGTTCCTGTCCATCACTTTTCACTTCCCGGCTGTCCAATTGCTTCTCGGCCGGCAAGCTGCTGCTTGGGGGGGCCCAATCCACTGGCCCGGTTCGAGATCCCCGGTCTCAGAAATTCCATCAACTATCACCATCTGGCATCAAATCGTTTCTTTTCCGTCACTTTGGAAGAGTTTTTCCTTCTTCTCCTTGCACTGCTTGCTGGGGGTCCTGGAAGTCTTGGGCTTCCTTCTCATTTCCGGCCCTGTTCCCTGTCGGCCTGTTGGGCTCGGTGTCTATTACCGCGACGGTTCGACCCCAGCTTTTTCGTCCACCCTTCCCGCTTGCCCAGCCTCTCCCGTCATGACCCTAGGCATCTCATCTTAAAAAACATGGGAAATTTCCCACGAGGCGTACGGATACAGCTGCAAGCCTGCAAATCCCAAGTGCCCGGAGTCAGGTTGGAAGCCAGGGCCATGTTGACGAGGTTGACGAGGTTGACGAGGTTGGCCGGCTGGCCAGGGCAGGGCGAGGCGAGGCGAAATGGAAAGAAGACATGGATCCTTCGTCATTTGCGGCGCTTCTTCTTTCATCCGCCAGGAGTCGGGGTTCAATTTCCAGAAACACACGGAGGCGCTTCCGTACATCATACAGAGTGTTGGCAGAGTTACAGATGTATCATCGTCTCATTCGGTAACACGCAAAGTGACAGTCGACCGGCCGGCAAACCAGTTCCATCTACGGATATAGACTAATTACAGAATACCCAATCTTTACACCAAACCATCCACGGATACGAATCGTTGGTGTCTATACGGACGTGACGGATACACCAAGTTGCCAACAAGGTTGTGTGAGTTGGGTGATTCAGAGCAATCACTCGCGGGAATGCGACTGGTTTAGATGGATGGCCCCCCGGATGCGACGCCGCGATGCCCCGACGATGCGGTTGGTTGTCGATTGGAATTCCGTTGGATGCCCGAATTTCCTCCATTCCTTTGCAGACAACCACCGACATCACCAACAAGCCCAAAGTCTCAACCTGACCACCACCATCACCCATTCCAACAAGCGAGAAACCCCCCGAGCGAACGCGCAACACAACCCGGAACCGCAACCGCATCCGCATTCAAACGAAATGCGACGACAACCATCAACTTACGAATACACCCGTTCGTGGATGGAGGGATGGATGGATGGTGTGCCTTGCTCAGCTTGCTTCTGACTGTGCTGCTGCTGACTAGTAGCTACCATGCTCCCCCAACATCCAATGTTTCCGAACCGCAGAACTGACACCTGAGACGTCCAACCTAATTCCTATTCCAGACGCGATGCGACTCAACCAACGGGTATATTACACATGCACTCACACACACACACACCAGGGAAGGCGGTGACAGGCGCATACCGATAAACCAGACGCCCTGTCTCTACAGCACACCGAACAGGCTTACCGCCTGGTTATCGCTTCCGCTACCTGCCTGTAAGATGCAACCTGCCTGCCTATTCAGAAAGTAACACACCGGCGACTTGCTATTCGTGCCTCTTTTCAATGCTCGTTACCGTCGCGAATCAATACGGCCGTGCTGACTGGGCTCTGGCTCAGCCCGCGGCGAATGCTTCCCCGGCCTGAGTCAGACTGGGGGTGGCGCATTCGCGATTCCATTCCATTTACACTGACCTTCGGATACGTATCGATACTCACTTTAACTCTGTACTCTATACACGGCGGTACCACCCACCTTTGTTTCCCCGGATCGTCCAAGCTGTAGTTGCGGCGGCGGTGGTGGTGGTTTGTGGAGGGGGTGTGTGTGTGTGGCCAGCTAGCCTTGGGATGAGAACAGTCAGGCCAAATCAACCCCTTTGTCAGTGACTCAGGGCCTGGGTTGTTGATTGATTGCTGACCTGAGTGACCTCACCCAAGAATAGGGTACGGATAGGCAAGGAAAAGCCGTTACGTTGCGCAGCGGAGGAACCTTGTAAGTTTGTGTTCCTCCGCTTCCACTTCCCTCGCTCTTGTTGGTCGCACAAACGAAGAAACGGCGAGATCGTATTGGGTCTCGAACGCGAGTTTGCGACGGGCGGGAGACGAGAGGGCCCCTCCCCCGCGAATAAGCCATCTCCATCACCGTTTGCGTCGTCAGCATTCAGCAACGACGACAGATTTGTCGCGGCCCATTTTCGAATGAGATGGCAGAGGCTGCAACTCGCGATGTGACTGGTCCCCGCTATCAACGGCAGAGTCTCGTCCCGAATTCGGGGTTGTGCCACACCGCAGGGCATCCCGTTCCTGGACTTGCCAATTGTGCCCTTGCCTTGGCTCTGTAAAAGGGCGGCGGGAATGTATCCGCAGGCACGCAAGGGGGGGTGGAGGGAGAGAGGTGCCAGATCAACCTTCAACCACCAGCTGGGCAAGCATTTCCAGATATCCGAGCATACAGTGAGCTATCACGCAGGGGAAACCCTCTTTGGCAATTGAAAAAGCTGAAGGCGGTCATGGCCCGTGGACCTATCGAGACTGGCTGACAACTTAATTCCAAGACAGACAAGATAGACAGCGATCGTTCTGGACTTGGTCGCGGCAGGCAACATGCTTTAGAGTTTCCATCTTCCCTGCCCATCGATTGCCCTGATTTTCTATTTCGTCCAGTGTCTGGCAATGACTCCAACGAGTACTTGTGAAACAGGCTCGACGACAACAAAAAGCCACCGCAGCAGCAGTAGCAGTAGCAGCGGCAGCACATGCCTGACGGGCGAGCGGCGGCGCGGCTGCAATTGAGTCGCATCCGGTCCGTGCTAGCTACGGGACTTACTCGACGATCAAGACCAAGCGGTAGGTAGCCGAGGCGGTACACCAATAGGTCGAAAGGAAGAAGCAAAAAAGATCAGACTGAAACGGGATTAAACCACGTACGGGTTATGTTCCCCTACGTAGTCAAGCTCTTTGGGTAGCTACAGACGGTGTGGTTATCGACACCGACGCCACACCGAGCAAAGCACCGCAAATCGCTTCCGCCTGCCACTTCTTTTTCTGCCGTTCCCCCCATCAAGACCCTTTCACAAGCTTGCGCTCTAGATGGAGAGGCTGTGGGAAGAAGCCGAATAGAACCCCGAAAAAAAAGAGAGAAAAAAGGAAGCCATCACAAGCGTCTCCGTCCCGCAAGGCCCGGCGTTGCATCTATTTGCAACAAGTGCACCGAGCACAACCACGCACCGGAACAGCCACCATGCATCGTCGACCTACCCAAAACCGCAATGCCGACCCCAGACCGCGCACCGACACGACGCCAACGCCAAATAAACCCCTTTGGCTATCTATCGGGCGGGTGTCGCGATTCATGGTGGTAGCGTTCACCCCCTGGGCCAAACGCGCACCGAGCGACCGGAAGGATGCCCGCGGGGCTAGGGGAGGACCGGGTTACAGAAACCAGAGAACCAGGAATTGAGATTGTCCGCCCTGGACGACCTTCTAGAAAGCCGCTAGACGGTTTTTTCCATTCTTAGCCTCCTTCTTCTTCCTCCCCCTGCGACCGCGGAAGGGGGTGTGTGTGTTCCTTATCCCGGTTCATTCCCCCCGTCCCCCGAAATTGGACCGGCTGCGGGTTGTGGGACCCGAAGAAGAGCAGACAGAAAGCGTGGTTTGCGTGGGTGTGCGGATGCAGTCGCGGCAGGGGGTCCTGTTCCGGTCTAGCGGGTGATTGCGCGCTCTTCTCCCTGACACGCTGCTGCTTCGAGCGTTTGGGGTTTTGTGCGATTTACGAAATGCAGTTTTTCTTTGCCCTGGGACTTTCCGGCTCTTGCTCGGTTGCTGCCGGATTAGTCTACCGGGTGGACGGAGGGAGGGCTTGGAAAGGCAACGGAAATGGTGGTTATGCAGTGTGTGGAATGCATAATTCCTCCCTCCCTCCCTTCCTCCCCCTGAGTTATGCTCCCGGAAACGGTGGCCGCGAAACGGTCAGACCGTTTTGGGATTGTGGGCTGCTCGCCCCGAGGCAAAGATACACCATTGAAGACTTCCCTATCCCATCGATCGGGAAGCTTGTCAAGATGGGATCTGCGTTCGGCGTTCCAGAGCCGTTGAGCCTTATTGCGGTTACATCTCGTGGAGACGAAGATGGAGATGCCGCAACCGCCGGCCGAGAGATTGGGGGTGTCGAGCTGACAAAAGCGTTGTTCATCTCTTGTTCGTCGCATGTGTGGAATTTGAGAGGCTTACATCAGCCATTCTTACGCAGTATGCTTTGGGGGCGGGGCATAGGGATCTTCACCGGTCCCGTCGTACGGATTGTCAGATCGTGGGGGGATCATCGGGTGAGCTTGACTGGCAGACTGACAGAGAGCAGAGCCGCTTCTGGGAGCAGCTTACAAATGGCATGCTGAGTCAACTGCTTCTGGCTTGCAATCCTTGGGCTGCTGGTGAGGGAAAAGGTAACGTTTCAACATTGTTGTACATTGAGATCCGGTGAGATTGAATATCCTAGAGTCCGGGCATCGCTGTTTGTATGCGTGTTGTCATGCCTGTGCGACTTGGTATCCAACAAAAGCGAGGCTCCTACAAGGCCTTGCGGGGATCGGGCGGCCTCATGCCGAGGATCTCCTTATTTGTGTGAGGATATTGGGTCACATATCGCAAAGAATGAGGTTTCTAGATCTCGAGATAGACAGCCTTGTTGGATGCAAAGGCCACTGACCTGCTTCGTGGCGACAAATCAACTCGTGAGGCGTATTGAGATTCATCCGGAACCATGCGTGAATAATCACATCGAGTTTACGTTTACACTTACACCAAACCTCTTACCCAAACCAACAAACCCTCTCGAAGATCGATCGTGCCCATCTCCATCGAAACAGTAGAATCTATTCGCCGTAGTAAGACGCGCTACTGCCGCTGCATCGACACCAAACAATGGCCCCTCTACTCCAGCCTCATTCCACCCAACGCCGAAAATCGAATTCCTCGACGCCTCGGGCCGGACGTGCGTCGACGAGAACGGGGTGGAGCAGAATTGAAACTCCCTGGCCGGGTTCGTGGCATATCTTTAGAAGGGGCTTGGGGGGTTGCAGACTTTGCGTGTTGTTGAGCCGGATGGGACCGGAGGTGGGGAAGGGGGTGGAAATCGGGTTCGGGTTCGGGGTGGGGGCCGGGGCGGGGATAGGAGCGGGAGCAGCGGGAGTAGGAATGAGGCCAAGGCCGTCTTTGGACTTGTGTATCATGTTGGCCATGCCGGATCTGAGAAGGGGGGGTTCATTTGACTGGCAGCGGGCATTATTATGAGACTTGGGGGAGGGTGAAGAATGGGGATGGGGAATGGTTCCTTGCTGAGATGAGGCTGTGTAGGTTATTCTCGAGGACTGCAAGTCTTTGAGAGGTATTGTGGTGTTGAGGGAGAATGTCTGAGTTGAGATTTTGGTGGTTGTGGTTGTGTTTGTGGGCGAGGGTTTCAAGGTTGCCTCTTGAGCCGGATGCGGTTCTGGACAAGCCAAACATATCTTGCTTTCCATATCTCGATTGCTTGAGACTTGAGCTTCGAGTCTGCGGTAAACTAGTTGCAAGGCTTGCTTCAACTGCAAAAGGACAGTGATGGAAACTCCTCGTCTCACGATATCACGATCGATGGTGTAAGACAGTCTCGACGCTTCACGATAAGTCCGTCTGGGTATCACTGATGGGAGGATTGGCGCCCAGGATATTGGAGAGCTTCGTTGTAGAGGCTGTGATACCACTTGATGAGCTTTTCTGGCTATACGATATTGGCTGTATCTTGGCCTCGATGCTCATGGGAGGCAACAAGCGAGATAGACGTATTTCTAAGGACGATATGTGTGTTGAGGTTTACCAACTGAAATGAACAAGCCACTTGCTGGTCTTGCCTAAAGACGTACCTCAAACGATGCTTGAGTGCTAAGAAGGGGAAAATCTGCACTTCCTATCACCATGTCGGATGAGACCCGGGACATTGAGGTTCTCACCAATACCGTACAAATAGAAAACCATCACTATCGTACGATGCCCAATAAACCAGTGAAATCCCTGCTTGGCATGCTGTGTACAAGTGCTTACGCCCCTCCAACCATCCTGGTAAGTTGATGGGTCGAATACTGTAAGGCTGCCACGGCTGCAGGAAACCCCCATGTCATCAACGGTCTCGATGTTACCATAATTCTTCATGAGGTAATTCGAGCGCGGGAAGTGTCTGATATCAACTCCCTTCTTGGCAGAAAATGTGATGATCGATAGCGTCCCCGCAGAACCCCTCTTCTGCTTGTGACCTGATGATGGGGTATGGCCTGGTATATAAAGTTGGAGATGTGTCAGAATATACGGATGGACAACATGATTTAGTTTATTCACTCATTTCTACTCGTGTCTTGATCGGCTTGAACCAATCATCAACTAAACCACAGGAACCAAAAGACCAAACAAAAGATGGCAATCTCCCCCGAAGTAGCAGAAATCATCCGCCGCAAGAAGGCTCAATACTGCCGCTTCGCTGACACATGCGAATGGCACCGCTTCGACACAATCATGCTCCCCACCCTCACCTTCGAAGCCTTTGACCTAGACGGCAGCATCCTGACCCTCAACGGCGTCCCGTACCGCTGGACCTCGCGCGAGGCGTGGGTCGCGCACTTTAGCGAGGCGTTTAAAGTCATGCAGACGATGCACCTGACTGACGCGGGGGACCTGGAGCAGGTTTCCGAGGATGAGGTCAAGGCTGTGTTTGGGGTCATTTATCACGCTGGGACGAGGGGCTCGGAGTCGGGTTTGCATTCTACGGGGGCGGGGCATTATCATGAGACGTGGAGGCGGGTTGATGGGGATTGGTTTATGGAGAGGTGTTGTATGAAGAGGTTGTATTCTAAGGTGATGCAAATTTGATGTTTTCTTATGTTGAGGTCGGTATTTAGGGGTTGGAAGATGAAGTGATATCATTGAGATTTTAATAAAGGTCGAGTTGACGTGGTTGAAGTCGTGGTTTTCATAGTTTGAAAGTAGTTGGCGGTGTTTGCTAAGTTTGGTTCGCTATTAACTTAGAGGTTGTTGAGCTCGAAGAGAGTCGACATAATGAATCGTTTTCTATTATACCTGTTGTTCTCCCTGTGGCGGTAGGGAAGGATAGTATCACGGTGAAGCACTCGCATAAATCGCTTCATATGCAGACGATGCCACCCCCCCGTTTGAACCTGTCTCCTTTCTGATGCCATCTTCCCCCTCCCTCGAGACTTCTCACCACTCCCTACTTCCCCACTGCTCGTTACTGTTAGCCTCCTGGTCATAATCAAGCTTTGCTAAGTTGTCGTCTCTCCCTGGAACGTAGTCAAAGTGGCCCAGTAAACCCGAGACCTCGAGACAAAAACACGATCGAGCCCAGTGAAACGATAGCTCGGATGCTTAATAGAGGCCCCAGAGCCAAAGACTAGAACACTCGGACTGGCTCAACATCATCGTGGACCCCTGACAACGAGGGAAAAGTCGTAAATCAGTATTTGAACAATTTCCGCCCACGGTTAGTAACGGAATTGAATCATATGGTCCCAACATACTCTCAAGGGAGAATGTCAGTTTGTGACTTATCCCGTGGTAAGTTGCATAGTACCCTTTGGCAAAAGCTGCTGCTATCAAAATCACAATGTCAAGTTTTGAATGGCTTCAGGGTATGTTTATTCAAGTCTATCAATGCGTTGTCTGTTTAGAGTTATGGTGGTTTCTCTTGATAGCTGACTTTCATTCAGTTCAATACACAAATCAAGTAAAACTTGAAGTCAATACCAATATCCAAGAGGGAATGGCCGCAAATATCCCGAAGAGCCATCCAAGAGGCACATGTAGCTTGGTCTAGAGGAAGAGCCATTGAGAAGATGGAAAGGCTGATTGCGGGGGATCTCAGCACAACTAAGTGCTTTTCTGAAGACTTCACGATGCCCACCGAAGCGTGATGAGCACCTTGCGTAGACAGGATAAGACGGCATTCTCCGCTGTGAGACATGGCGGGCGCTGCCAAGTTGAGATCTCAGACCGTAAACTCACAACCCCCTGGACATCTGAAAGGTAACAATGGCAAATTTGGCTTGACAAACATGGAAAATGGTCTCTTTTGGTTTATGATGGAAATATCAAGTAAGACCTGATTGTTCCCCCCACATCGAAACAACGAGCTGGACAAAGTTGAAGATATTTCTCATTTGAGAACTTTCTTTTTAAGTCTCTGAACTTATTTAAATAGCCATGTGAGAGGGGTCATACAATGTCTTTTGGCCTAAAGTCCCATGTCTGGCCGTTCAACACGTGAAGAGAATGTTTGCTTCTGAATGATGGCTACTCCAAACGCCAGACGAAACATGAAGATGACCCGCGAGCACAAAGAGAGCCACAGAAATTGTGGAGTTATGAACATGCCCGACAGATCGCCAGTAGAGGCTCTGCCAGACCTGAACGCGTCTCCATCGTTTGTGTCCGGACCCTTGTGTGAAATGTGGCCTTCAAAAAAGCCGAGCTGACAGAACTGGCCCGCCAAAACAAAACACCGTACGCCGTCTTTATCGATATGCAAGCCCTTAGCTCCGCAAAGCCTCCAGTCTGTTGCGCATCTGGTTCATCATAGCCTCGGCATCCTCTTCCTCCTCCTCGACCTCGACCGGCTTGGGTTCTTGCGTGACCGGCGCAGCGGGGAGCTTCTCCTTGGACATGCGGTCCTTGAGAATTTCGCCGAGGACCTTGTCGACCTCGCCCTCGGCCTCCTCCTCTTCAAACTCGTCCATGTCCTCGGGCAGACTCTCACCGACCATCTCTTCGATGATGCCAGCCTTCATCAGCTCCGCGCTGAGTTCCTGCATCGTGCCGGCCAGCTCGGGCAGCCGAATCAAACGGTTGACGTCCTTCATCACGCCGACGCTCGCGCGGATGCTGCCCTCGATTTTCCTTACGGCAAACGCCTCATTGACCTGCATCTGCACGCTGTTGAGTTGCGCCTTGGAGGTGACTAGGCGATTGCTCGTCTTTCGCGCGCGGATGAGTTCCCGCGCAAAGTCGCGCGCCTCCTTCTGTGCTTGTTTCTGTCTCGTGGGGTCTCGCTGGGCTCGCTTGTCGGCTTGGAGGATGAGGTTCTTCGTCTTGGCCTCGACTTGCCTGACTTGGTTGATGTCGCGGTCGAGTTTACGGATATTGGAGCGAATGAGAGCGTTACATTTCCGCAGCTGTTCAGGCACAAACTCATTAGAAATTTCCCTAGGTACTGCTGTCGCGACGGGCATGATCTACCTGTTGCTGCGGATCAGGCTTGACGAATATGGCTCTGAGCGTCTCCATGTTGTGCGGATCGACAAGCAAAAGGGCCGAAGGAGACCGTCAATACAAAGAGCCTTGGATATCGAGGCGTCGCTATGGTATGCAGTGGATGGTCCGTCGTAGCGCGTTGTGTTAGGCTGTCGCCAGCCTCGTCGTTTGCCAGGTTCAATCAGCGCTGCCTTGGGTTGGGAAGCGATGTGTCGTCATTCCCTGCTTGCCGCATCGACTGATACGGCTTGTAGTGGGGGATTGTCGTCACGTGGGGAAAGTGTGATCGATATGCACTTAATCGACTGGGTGCAAGTAAAGAGGAAGTGTATCTTCCGAATACCGCATTAAGCGAGTGGGTGGTTGACGCTGGATGGGCGCCAGTAAAGCTTCGGCTGGCTGAACTGGCACCTTGGCAACAACAAGAAACGCATTTTGAGTCAATGACTGCAGCGCTAAGTTCATCTTGAAATCTAAATGCCATTCAATCGATACCCATTGGCAGGATGAGAAGTCTCTCAGTCGAATGAAAAGATGCTCGCCCCTGTGTCATCCAGCGGACAGTTTGGGAATCCGAGTGCGGGCAGTTAGAATCACGCAGGAAAGCGAATCGCACGTTCCGGGCGGCCCGTATTGCAGCAAATGAGACCCCTGGTGGATAAGAAAATCGGCAAGGGCCCACGATGATCTCACTGCCTGCCTTAGTTGACCCGCGTCGCAAGACAAGACGAAGGTACGCTGGCTACCTATGGATGTCAAGCAGTTGGATGCTCGGGCCCGGTTGGATGACGGCTCCGACGCTGAGGGATCTGGGAAACAGAATGAAGAACAAACTTTCGTCTCGCTAGACGATCAAAGATTCCAGATCGCCTTACATTAGTTGACACAAGGGAACAGACTGCTCCAGGTCGATTTTGTTGTGTGCATGCGTCTAACATGATGCGCCTCACCCAGAGCTGCAGGCAACCGACATCTATCCACTCATAATGCTTCTTACGCCTATTTCGTGGGGTTGCAAGGGGGCTGGAAAGCTCTTTCGGCCGCGAAGCCAACGTCAGCAAAGAGGGGAAGACAGGGAAACAGGTACTCGCATCTGGGGCAACAGTCCCACATAGAAAGAAGTACCTGGCAGCAACTGGAAAGGCATGAAAGAGGCTCGGCCATGTACCTGGCACAGCCAAAAAGAGAGTAGGAAAAAAAATAAACAGCCCTGGACTGGACGGGAGGGAGGAGGGGAACTTGGAGGGGGGAAAAGGAGACGGGATTTCTAAGTGTACAGTGCGTTCAGCCCTGCCAGGGTCCGGTCCGCAGCAGCAGCCCAGTGGTGGTGGCAGCACCAGTTGGCCCCCAGTGCCAGTGCCAGCCTGGAGCTGTTAGTGCTGCGAGGTACTCCGTAAGGTAGGTGCTCTGTGCATCCTGCCGCCTGCCTGGTGTGGGTTACTACCAAATCTTTCGGATTCGAGCGCCTTCTACAATTGCCCGTGATCTCCAGGCGGTAACTGGAACCCACCCGGCCTCACCCCAACCAAGGGCCCAGCCTTTTCAAACCTGTAGCCTCACAACCCCCTCCAGCTTCTCTCTTCCACACACTTTCAACTCCTCCAACTCCAACAGTCGTTGTCGATATCTGCGCAATTTCTACACATAATACCCCTTCTTACTAGGTCAATTTGCCAACCGCGATTGCCTACTTGCGACACATTTGCGCCTCGCGTGAATCAACCTACCCCTCATCCCCCGTCATAGCTCCCTGCTCGACAAATTCCCACCAGCAAAATGTCTGCCACCACACAAACTCCTGAGGGTACGTAAAAGCTCATCTTCGCCTTTGGCACATTCTAGGGATTCGATCGCCGACTACTATATTCGCCTACAATTCTTGCTGTCTTCACTCCTTGAATATACAGCCTGACCCCCATTTCGGAACATGCGCCGAAGCTAACCCGGTCTTCCCCCACAGTTCTCTGGGCTCAGCGTTCCAGCTCTTCAGACGCCTCCAAGAACTTCGTCTACTTGACGATCACCGTTCCCGATGTTCCCAAGTCCAGCCTCAAGGTCGATCTGAAGCCTACCGGTCTGTCCTTCAGTGGTACCTCCGACTCTCTGAAGCGCTCGTATGCCGTTGACCTCGAGCTGTACGCTGAGATCGACCCCGCTGAGAGCAAGGTCAACCACACCGGCAAGAATGTTGAATTCAAGCTCCAGAAGAAGGAACTCAAGGAGGAGTACTGGCCCCGCCTGCTCAAGGAGGCCAAGAAGGTCCACTTCCTGAAGACCGACTTCGACAAGTGGGTCGATGAGGACGAGCAGGATGAGGCTGCTGAGGAGGACTTCTCTCAGTTCGGCGGTATGGGTACGTGCTTTACAAACTCCTTTGAAACCCAACACCCCGCGATGGCGGATTATGGTGTCAGAGCCTTTTCAATTTCAAATACTAACACGTTGATCTACTAGGTGGCATGCCTGGTATGGGTGGCCCTGGCGGCGGCGACTTCGGCGGCATCGACTTCTCCAAGCTTGGCGGCGGCGGCGCACCGGGTATGGAAGGCTTGGGAGATATGGAGGATGAGGAAGATGATGAGGATGACGATGATATGCCTGCCTTGGAGGGCGAGGAGGACGACGGCAAGGCCGCACCTGCTGCTGACAAGGCTGCTGCGAAATAAGCAATCTCTTCCTTTATCACGCACCCCGAGACGACTTTCCCGGCACTTAGGCCAGAATGCTTGGCAGCAACGCCCGTGGATACCGCTCTAGACTAACGACTATGAATGTACTTCTTCGAATCAAAAGACCAAAAAGAAAAGACGATCCGTGATCTTTGGGATTGGTTTCTACTTATTTACGACGAGAACTCAAGTTGCGGTAGGCATTTAGCGAATGGATATCATGATTCTCTGAGCATTCTTCCCAACCTCACCATCGGGTTTACTTGCAAACGCGATTCGTGGTCTCTGTCTGTGTGTAGGCGTCTGGTGTAAGAGGCGATGTTCAAGGTCGATCTCTTGCGCCTGTAAAGCTGGGAAACCCACTCCAGGATTATGAGATGGCAAATCGATTAGAGGGATCAGCCGTGCTCCTTCATCTACAGCCACAAAGCTCTTCACATGTCTGACCGTAAGCTGTTTCTTTACTTTCTCACCAAATAAGAGAATTGTCTCAGACACTATTTAATCACTAAAGACTTAACGTTGCGTTAATGAATTTCAAGTTGGGGGCTCGGCGCTTTGTGTATTAGAGTCTGTCCGACTTAGGGGTCGCTATAATACATGCCCTGCTATAATTTGGGCAAGCAGATGGGTGATGTAGTTTTCCAGCTCAATGAAGCTGTGATTGGTGTTTTTGTGATGTTTGGGGATAGTTGCCGGAAGGCCGAGGGAGGCAGTCTGAGAGCTTGAAAGAAACCAAAACATGTCGAAACCAAAGCCATAATCCCGTAACCTCCGTGTCTTCTCTCCTTCCAGCAATCTGTTTGAGAGTTTCGGAGTCGCGCACATAAGGAAAGTTGAAGGGAGCCCCCCACACAATGTGCCACTTTGACCTCCTCAGTGCCCGGTGTTCTGTGAATGAGTCTGTAGTAGCTATGTGCCGTTTACATGATCTCATCCTCCATAGCAGCGTCGCCGTTGGTGGCAGCGGGGGCAGGAGCGGGGGCAGCGGCGTTCTCATTGGGGTTGGCACCAGACTCGAAATAATCGGCCATCTCAGAGTCAAGCTCCTCTGCCGTCTTCTTCGCAGGACGGCCGGTACGCTTGGCACGGGGCTTCTTGCCACCAGTGCCAGCAGCGGCAGCGCCACCCTTACCGGTGTTCGCGTTGTTGTTGTTGTTGCGCTTGTTGTTGGCAGCAGACTTGGGCTGAGCCTTGGGTTGCCTTTCTTCTTGTTAGTATGCATTCCAGCATCTCAGGGAGAGTTTGCTTACGTGGTGCGCTCAGCAAGGGTTTTCTTAGCAGGAGGAATGACGTTGGCTGCCTGAGAAGCGCCAACAACAATCTCAATCTGATTCCCGTTAGAGTGTACATGGAAGGGCATGTTTCGAGGGGCATACCTTAATCGGGCGGTTGTCGACAAGAAGACCGTTCAGCTTCTGGAAGGCCTTGCTAGCGCCATCCGCCTCGCGGAATGTGATGTTGGCAATGCCACGGCTGACAGAGTTGGGGCCGTAAGAGATGTCAACTCTCTTGATGGGTCCAACTGATGTGAGAAAGTACTCCTGAAGGGAAAGTCGATGTTAGTTATCCGTAAGCGTTGTTTTCAATCACGAGCGTCGTCCGAACCCGAGCCGCACGAGGGGCAGGGCATCGGCAGAAATCCAATAGTCGACCGGAGCACAGGAGGTTGGTAGCGAGCAGAGCAGTGAGCGTTAGTACGCACGTCAGCGTCCATCCCCAAAGAAGCCCCAATTTGAGCCATGGCTGCCTCGTGCTCAGTTGCCATCAAGTCGGAGGGTATCACCCCAAGTCGTAATAGCTGCTGTAGGGGACCGTCGTAACACATGGCCGTAACACCATGAGGGGTGTTTCAGACCCAAATAGCCATGTGCATGTACTACGCCCCAAACCCCCGTTAAAAGGCCATCCATCGTTGTAGGTTGGCGAATCGATTACAGTGAAGCTCTGTATCGAAGCCGTTCTGGCCTGTGCTGCGACGTTGCTCACTGCTTTGCTCGCTGGAGAGGACTTCATACTGCATCGTCATGCTGATGAGCGGTGCCAGACCAAGCTGGTCATGTGGATATCCGTCGAAGACAGCCAACGTCCCATCTTTTCAGTCGGCTGTACCAATTACTTGGGTGCTGACCAGGCTACCTCAATTTTGGACTTTGTTCGCGCGACAGGGACGTGCTCAACTTCCGATGAGCTCTGCGCCGTATCTCAGGATCGCAGATATCGAGGAAGGAGTCTTGGCGGCGTCTTGACAGATTCCGTTTGGGAAGCGGCAATGGCCACAGTGGATTTGATCTCGCTACGACGCCGGCTGGGAAGGAGAGCAGGCGAGAAATAAGATGTCGAACCAAGTCCGAGGGCTGAAGAGCCTCATCGGCAACATACCTTGATCTGTTGCTCGTTGACATCCTTGGGCTTCGTATGCGTTAGCTTGCGCCAGGATTGACGGAGGGAGGAGAGGAACTAACCAGGTTGCTCACGATGACCTTGCTGTCACCAGAGCCTTGTGCGGGCTTGGCGGCATTAGGCTTGCTGGCGGCGGCGCCGCGCGCAGGTCGCGATGTCTTCTGAACACCGCCGACTGGGGCAGCAGCCGCAGGGCGACCACCGGTGGATCGACGCTGAGAGCGACGGCCGGGTCCGCCGGCAGAGCGACGTTGGGTCGAGAGAATCTCGTCGAGAGACTGGTCAAGCTTTCCAGACATGATGATTGTGGTGTTGGATGTGTGTGATAGAAAGATTTGCTTGCGATAGTGCTGCGATGGGAGAGCAGCTGGTCGATGAATCTCTTCAACTATTATTAGGTCGTGAAGAGCGTGATGCGAAACGAAGTGCTGTTGTGATGAACTCAAACTTTGACGCGTAGAAGCTTGCGCGCAAGGAGTGGTCGGTCTGAAGAAAGAGGTAGAGAATACAGGAGCTGCGCAAAAATGTGAGGATGCAGCTGAAGAAGAAAAGTTTTGGTTTGGAGGTCGAGGGGTCTTTTTGATGTTGGATGGGGAGGTTTGTCTTTGGGAAGGAGAAAGGTTGCGAGATGGATGGAATGAGCGGGTGAAGGCGAAATGGGAAAGGAGACGGGGCAAGGTGCTGGTGCCAGCGGAGCGGCAGGCTGCGGCGCGCCTGACCAAAACAAGGGGGGCCTGAGGACCCCGTTGACAGCGGGAAGTTTTGATTGGCCGCACTAGTCCTTTCTGGGCCAAGAAGGATCCGCCAGAGCTGCTGCCTCCTCAGCCACATATCCCCTGTTTGCGCCTTCCAATTGTTCCATTTCGGGAAGCAGCTGGCCAGGTCTCCTTTCTCTTTGGCGCTGAGTTCGAATGCGCCTCATCAAAAGATGTAACAGGCCGAAGCAAGAATTGGGGCAATTGAGGCACACAGTCCATGAATCAACAGGCTCTGGTGTCACTCAAAGACACAATTAACTCTACAGATTCGATCAGCGCCACAGTCGATGTTTGGAGTAGGTTGTAGCATGGCCTACTGTTATGAGGCATACACAGCATTTACTCAGAGAGAACAAAAGTAGGGGAGCTCAAAATCATGCATTCTGGCATTGCAAGATCGCAAAATAAAGGTTGTACCGTGGGACCTTGCACAAAGTCGATGTTCACCACGTGGATTCAGCGCTGAGCCAGATTAGACTCTCGTTTCAATAGTGATGCTCTAATGTTTTGATTTTGGAGGGCAGGAGCTTATAGACGCCCCTGGTGTTCGCGTCTTTGACTGCATTAACTTGCAAAGCTCTGTGTTCTCTCGGGGGAGGAACGTTTGGTTGTCAACCTCCTGAAAGGCCGTATTTGATATCGCCTGTCTCCTCAGACACTGACATCAATGCCCTCTCTCATCGCTCATTTGTCGCCCCTAGCCTCGCATCTCGGTCGTCTCAGGGCAGCCGCAGGATTCCCAAATCCCTTTTGCCATATATATCTAATAGCGAATATCCCATGGCATCTCACTATCTCACTTGCGCCGTTTCGGGGTCTTCTAGGCCACTGCTTTCGCGGACTTCGCGGATCGTACTGCCTTCTCGGGCTTTTCCTCTTCTGTGTTGACTTCTACATAGTGGTAGAAGATGATAAGAACCATGGCGGCAGAGCCAAGGAAGATCGCAAGGCGGTAGAGATCGTTGTCGGAAATCATGATGGGCTCGGGATCGTTTGCGCGATGATGCTTTTGGGCGATGTGCAAGGAGAATCTTTTGGGGGACTTCTAAGTCTGGGTGTCAGATTTTCGTACCAATACTGCAATGAGAAAGAACAATGACTTGAACGTACAGTGAGTGTCTTTCTTCCAAACAGCAATGGAAGGAGTTGGAGTTTTTCGTCAAGATGAGCTGGTTGGACTTGCTGGCGCGGCGCACATGGAGCTTGAGATGAGGATGGTAATGGGCGACCAAACGGACAACTAGACCACTGGAGCTGCTGTCCACGTCCACGCTTAGACCAGCCACGCTAAGAGTGACTTGGTGCTTGAGTCGGTCCTCCACTTTAGTGCCGCATCCCCCCGGTCAAATCTGCTGTGACGCTCCGCCCCCACCAATGTAAGCCCTTCACGTGACCCGCCCACCGTGCCTTGAACTTCTGACTTCATCCACGGCGCTCCCACTCTTCTTGGATTTGCAGTGATGACTTTTTGCGTTACGTCGATCTGAGCGGACCCTGCCGACCTGTCTGTCGACATCCCACAACAACACGACCCAACTAATCCCGCCAGAAGCGGTTACTTAGTCGTAGCAGAAGACTTTTGCTTCTGCCCACCAACCTTTTCTCGTCTCCAGAAACCGAATACCCCGCCAAGATGCCTCCTAAGAAAGTGGACAAGCCGGCCAAGAAGGCCGTCAAGGTCGAGGACAAGACCTTCGGCATGAAGAACAAGAAGGGTGGCGCGGCCCAAAAGCAGATTGCCCAGATGGCGTCTTCAATGAGGAACGGTGGCAGTGCTGAAGAGAAGCGCAAACAGGCAGAGAAGGAGGCGAGAGAGCGCGAGAAGAAGGCGGCTGAGGAAGCCAAGAGGGAGACCGAAATGCTTCTGAATAAGCCCGCTCAGATTCAGAAAGTCCCATTTGGTGTCGACCCCAAGACAGTTGTATGCAACTTTTACAAGAAGGGCAACTGTGAGAAGGGCAAGAAGTGCAAATTCTCTCACAACCTCGAAGACGAACGCAAAACGTCGAAGAAGAACCTGTACACGGATACCCGCAAGGAAGAGGAGGAGAAGAAGAAGGCCGAGACTTCTGCCGACTGGGACGAGGAGAAGCTTCGCTCTGTCGTTCTTTCTAAGAAGGGCAACCAGCAGACCACCACCGACAAGGTGTGCAAGTTCTTCGTCGAGGCCATCGAGGACGGCAAATATGGATGGTTCTGGATCTGTCCAAATGGCGGCGACAAGTGCAAATACAAGCATGCTCTGCCACCAGGGTAAGTGACATCAGTCCAGCGGTTGGTAACAATGCTAACATTGTCGCAGATTTATCTTGAAGACCAAGGAGCAGAGAGCGGCTGAAAAGGCTCTGATGGACAAGTCACCTCTCAAGACCCTTACCTTGGAAGACTTCCTGGAGTCAGAGCGACACAAACTTACCGGCACCCTTACACCAGTCACGCCAGAGTCATTCGCTAAATGGAAGAAGGAGCGACTGGACAAGAAGGCGGCTGAGGAGCAGGCCAAGAAGGCCAAGGAAGCAACTGGCCGTGCCCTGTTCGAAAGTGGCAACTGGCGCACAACCGAGGACGACGACGAGGATGATGACGAGGATGAAGATGATGGAATGTGGAACTTGGAGAAGCTGCGTGCCGAGACCAATGCTCTTCGCGAGAAGAGGGAAGAGGAACGTCTGGCTGCCATCAACGGTGGCCCTGTTCCGCCAGTGGTACCGGAACCGGTAGCTGCCGAGGCATCCGGATCTTGAGCTTCCTGAAAGAGGAGAAGCCTTCTTGTATGCGCCCGAGGTTGCGAGCATCACCACGAAACAGGCCGATTCCGAGCACCTGGAAGACCAGGTTCATCCGGCGGCCGTGTCAATGCTACGCCAAGCCACGGTGGCAGATCCGTCTACTCTCACACCTAAAATCAATGAAGTATGACTACGTACGTAACGTGCACATCAACTTCCAAAGTTGAGTACTCGTGAGACTACCAATGGGGATATATTGAGTATCTTTGGCTACTTAGAGAGAGGTTAGAGACCGCTGGTGGTTACATTCAATCATGACGTGGATCTATCTCAACGTCTCCAGTTCCAGTGCCGCTCGTTTGCTCAAAACTTTTCCACGTACGGTCTGATGTCAATCTCCTGACTAAATGCGGAGCGGTGTTGCGTGTGTAGGTACCAGTAGGCATCAGCAATCTTGATGTTGTTAGCAGCATGTCTGCTCCAGGGGTTTGAAAATCACTTACAGCATCCGGTGAAATCTTCCCGTCTTCTACGCCATCGTTGGCAGCATAGGCCTTACCCCAAGGGGTGTCGATGCCTCCATCGATGATGGCGTGTGACACATGGACTCCCTGCGGACCGAACTCGCGTGCCAGAGATTGGCCTAGGGCGCGGAGGGCGAACTTGCCTGCCGCAAACCCTCCAAACAATGCGCTGCCTGCGAAAGAAGGTCAGTCATCTTACAGCGAGCCCCCATTCTCAAGACAGACAAACCTTTGATGGATGCTGTGGCCCCAGTGATGATCAAAGACGGCGGGTGAGGGGAACCGGACACCGACTCGAGCAACAGTGGAAGCGTCTTTTGCGCGAATGTGAAGAACCCCTTACTATATACCGCGTATATTAGCCGCCTTTTCCAGAAAATCCAGTAAATGAGGTCTCACGTACGGCGCGGCGTCAAGACTGAGGTCAAGCTCCTCCCGCTTGAGCTCAAGGAACGGCTTGCGGGAAAAGCCAGCGTTGACATTGTAAATTGCGGCAGCGAGCTTGCTTCCGGGGAGCTCCTTCTTGATCGTCTCGAAAGCGGCGTTGACGGCAGCCTCGTCTGTAGCATCGGCCGTGATGCCGAAGGCTTGGCCGCCGGCCTGCTTGATCTCGTCCACGATTGCGTTGTAGCTCTCTGGCTTACGGGCGAGGAGCACGACCGGGTACGCCTTGGCGAAGCGGACGGCTGCTGCGCGGCCTGCGGGTGCGTTAATTCTTGACTGTGAAAAATGCTCGCTATGGTAGGAATGAGTTCTGACCAGTGCCGGAACCCGCTCCGGAGATGATTGCGTAGAATGACTTGGAGGCCATATTTAATCAGACGTTTGGGTATATCTTTGACTTTGGAGTAGTGTTTTCAAGATGCTTATCAATTAGAGATTATGAAGTAAATTGAGACGCTGTGAAATGCAACTACTACACGGCGAGCAGATGAGGGGTTCGGTGGCTTTATGTCTTATTGAGGCTTGCATGTGGTCGGCCCGGCATTGTGAGATTAGACCATTGCTCGGATCCATGACGGCATTTGCGGAGGGCCGAACGGGATGCCCGATTATTAATGTCCCCTCTCCGGCAAGCTCCAATTACGGCCTCCGACCCGGTGCGAGGTGCGAGGGAACGAACATCAAGGAATCGATTGGCAAAATGCTTTAGAAATGACGAAAAAGATCATTAATCAAATGCTAATGAGCTATGGATCTTACAATTGATAGGTCGGCCTGCGTATTCACGGCATTGTATCCCTCTGCTCATTCATACATGACACGAAGTAGACTCCATCTTCTCGAATGTACCCAGATACGTCGAGTATCAATTGTACTGGGCCCGGTGGGAGATATCTCTTCGACAGCATCATGACCCATTTGCAACTTATTTAGCACGAAAAGCTATCAGTACCACGAAAAGTAGCGAGAACAGGTGCTCGCTTTTGAACGTGATATTCCCTCGAGAGAAAGTAAAAAAAATCGTGAGTGAGAACAAGTGACACCGAGTTTCTCGAGCAAGTGTCGGCAATCACCCTTGCCCGCGGTGCGAACCGCCCTAAACGGGAAGGCCCCGCTTATTGCCAGTTCCTTCCCCAAGTTCCATCCCTCGACTGCAGTCGCGCCTGCAACCTATCAACGCGTCGCTAGCTCATCTTTTCGACCTCGAAGATCGACCTTTACAACGTCCCCGGTCGATCTCTCGAGTGCCTCGCGCTGTTAATGCTCAATAATACGACACTAGGTTGGTTTTGCACAGATCACCCACGCAGCAAACCTCACGACAAGTCATGACAACTGACTAAGACTACACACTTCGAAAACCTACAAAGACTGATTACACCTCACTCACCAGCATGCTCAAAGAGAACTGTTCAGCTAGGACTCGTCGAATTTGAGCGTACTCACCATGCCACCACTATTTCCCACAAACTCGAGCACCAAAAATGAGCCTACCTCACAGAGCCTAAGCAATCCGTCTATCCCACGACAGCGCACCTTGGATCACTTTTTTGGCCGACCAGGCAGCAGCATGCCCCCGATATCTTCTACTTCAGCCGCTCAGACAAGGCCGAGGACATCAACAGCTCAGCCAGCGCCACGGTCCTCCTCGTTCGCCGTGGTTCTTCCATCGAGTCCTAGAAAGCGTACAGGAACGACCCCCATAAGGACGGTTGAGGACGACGCAGACGACCTGGTGATATCGGACCTATCACCCCAATTCAGAAGACTAGCAGCTCAGGCAAAAGTAGGCGTGAGCCTCGCCAAGCCAGCCTTACCAGAAGCCGTCGTAGATGAGCCAGAGCTAGAGGTTACTTCGCCAGGGGCGGTGACTCCTCCACCGCAGCCTCGCAAACGCGGTCGGCCAAAGGGTTTTCGACCGAACCTGACGGGCAAGAAAGCCTCACAGGAAGTCGGCGAGGCAGGACCGAGAAAACTGCGGCCGGATAGGCCCAAGACAGGCGCCCTGTACGCGGGAAAGCGGCGAGGTCGACCGCCAAAAGCAGCTTCACCCAAGCCGCGAGAAATCTACAAGAGTCTTAACCCACACTTCAACACGTACATCTGCGAGTGGGAGGGTTGCAAGGCCGAGCTTCACAATTTTGCGACTCTGCAAAGGCATGTGTCGATTGTTCACACCAAAACGGTAGCAGCTGGATGTCGATGGGCCAAATGCGCCCAACAGCAGCCGCCTCACAAATTCCCCACACTGGCAGACCTCAAATCTCATGTGGAGGATCTACACATGCTTCCAGTCGCCTGGCAGGTAGGGGACGGGCCGCAAGTGTCGTTCAAGCGATACGATCCCGATAATGGGACCAAGCTTCCCGACTACCTTTTTGACAAGGCTGGCAACCAAATTACACCGTCAATCAAGGATCAAAAGGAGGAGGACCTGTACACGTGGCGCAACAACCGGCGGAAACTCAAGGATCTTTTGCTTCTCAGAGACCAGAACCTGCCAAGCGAGGAGGAAGACGACGACGCAATGGAGGGGGTAGCCGAAGGAGCATGAGGTGGCTGATGGTTGTGGCGCAAGCAAACAGTTGACGTGAATCGCGGGCTGAGTCCTGGCGGCTCTTGGAGGCGACGACAACATCATCGAGAAAAACACTGGGCGGCGAGGCGAGCACGCTGACAATGCTTGTGAGGACCAAGCTTCATGGCATGGTTTCGGATGAGGGTTGACCGACTGCGCCTCCCTAGGGATGACGGAGACTTCAGGATAACGGGGGTATCCGCTGCTTAGAAGGCCCCCTGGAAAGTCGTGAGACGGACTCGTTCGGCCAACTGGAAAGGCCGTTGAGCGATCTCCCGCTTCCCCAGACGAGCGTGGATGATTTGTCGAGGCCTCACTTGACGGGTAGCGGATGAGCCGGGAGAGTCGTCGTCGTGTGTCTGAGCATGATTATTCATTCGAAAGGGATGACTTGGCATTGCGGCTCTTGCTAAATTTGACAGTTCAGGCTGATGCATGAAGGGAAGGGAAACGAAAAAAAAGGCGCCAGGTACGAAGTCTGGTCACATTCCATCTTACATCATCGGCGGGGATGTGCGGTGTTTTGTGGGGGAGATTGCTCAACGTTGCATGAGGAGGCGAAGGCGGAGTGACACCTCGGCATCCAGGGAGGGCCGCTGTTCAGGAAGAAACATGTACCGGCCCTCTTCTCTCTCGTGCATTCAGGGCATTCAGTTCAGCAGGGCGGCGGGAAGTAGGCCGGCTTACCGGATATCAGTTGAATCGAGTTTCTTCTTTGCAGAGGTTTCGGGTGGGCGAAACGAAGAGAACAAGCAGGCATCTGGATCAAATGGAACGGACGAGATAGGATAGCACAAAATCCGTAGGGACCACCTACACCAAAAAGAGAACCTGAAGATCGGTTCTAGAATACTTCCCATGCAGCATTACCCGCCTAGTGAATCGACGGGCGGCCGACGGACTCAAGTGCCAATGCAGAGGGAAAAGTGAGAGACTGGGTGAAGACTGCGAAATGATTCGTCAAAGAGCGCTGAACACGAACGTGACAAGCCAACCACACCAGCTAGGTACGGAAGGTGGCGATGGGGGAATGGCGCCGCCGCCGTGGATGCTCGCGACTTTTCTCTGCGTGTCTGCTTAGTCGAGTTCTCTCTGTACATAGAGGCCAAGGTTGATTAACAAGCAGGCGGGAGGGAAACCCTCTACTAGTGCCCCAGACGACTGGATCGCCGACCATGAACCCGCGCGGTGTCGTGGTGGTGTGGAGGGCTGAAAATGGACCGATTGAGGGGGGACATAAGTACTCTGTTGTAACCTAACACTTCTAGGTACTAAGTTATGAGGGGCTGGGGTGTTAGCGCGGGATTACTTGACGGGTGTGGTCGACGGGAGCGTGTCTTGGAAAGAAGAAGAAAAAAAGTGTTGATAGTGTGACAGTGTCTTATTAGACATTTCAGAAACAAGCTCGTCTAAGGTTTTTTTCCCTTCCTGTCTTTCCAACTCTCGTCTGTCCGAAAGTTGGGCGGCAGACGTGGAATGGCCTGCGAGGTCAAACGCAATGAGGCTTTTATTCGCGGCGACATCTGTGCCCATTTCTGCATATTCGTCTGATGCTGGGTGTTTTGCACGGAGCCCTCGAGGAAATAAGAGATAAAACATGTCAACGGCGGGGATTCCTCGTGAAGACGCAGCAGAAACAAGAAAAAAGAGAGGAAGTCTGAGACTCCAACTGGAGAAAAAGATCAACGGTTGTTGTCATGGGAGAATGTCTGTTATGAGTGCTGGGGCTCTGGCATGTAATCGCCGGTGAGGCTTTCGTATCTCGAGCTGGCGCCGGTGTTATCTTGGCTGTTGCCAGTGCATTGGGCCTGCGCTCAGTAGTCAGTACCAAAGCCCATGTCGTGCGTTTTGTTTTTCCTGCCTCCATCGTCGACACTGGCCGGAGGGATGAGAACGCATGAGTAAGGACCAGAACGCTCTGAAGCCAAAAAGGAGAAAAGAAGCAGGAACAGAAGGTAAAGGCATCAACGGTTTAGAAGAGGGCACTAGATATAGAGTTGACGAGTAATATACTCTCTCTGGGTTTGAAGGTGGTGTGGACAGACGGGACAGGGTGGCTGGATGTATAAAGAATCGAGATGGGTACCTCGAGTGACTTGCAAAGCCAATGGGTGGTGAATGGGGGAATTTGAGAGGCGTGGAAAATCGTCGGGGAAAAGAGCACCAATCGCCGGAGCAAATACCCTTTTGTCAGCAAAGCCATCCCAATTCCCATTTTGCAAGCAGCCTGCCAGCCTGCTCGGACCTGGCAAGCACACAACAAGCCTGGACTGAACAGAAAGAACAGACAGACGGAACTCTGGGCCAGCATTGAGAGAGGTCTTGACCAACGCTGGAACCAAGAGGAACCTAGGCCCAGGCCGGGCCCGCCTGAAGCGGAACATCCCTGCCAAAACCCATCCCATCCTGATCGGTTGGTGGATGTCTTGTATCATTGGATCCTCTCCCTTCCCCCCCCCCTCCCCCTGGCCATGCCACATAGTAAGGCAAGGCGAGGAAAGTCACCTGGTAAACTGCCTCTTTACCCCCCGAAGGCGCGCGATTCCTGCTGTGCTGCCGCTCTTTCGCGTGGGCTGCCACTGGGGCTAGGGATCCCCTGTGCCTCGCGGTGCACTGCCCGAGAGCCACTGAACAGTGGACACTGGACTCGTCCATCTTTATCCGCCCGTAGTGAGGGGAGAGAGAAAACCTAGAGCCCAGGTGGGCGGCGGCGGCGGCGGCGACAGAAAGAGCGAGACCCTAGTGAGCTCCTAAAATGGGAATTGAAAGTGCTGTGAAATGTGAGAGTAGCGAACAGAAAGCCGTACCTAGTGTTGTCCTCGGGTGACGGGCCAAGACCAGGACTAATACGACCAGGACCTCGACCTCGACCACGGCCACGGTCATCGACCAACGAGCGGGGGGGTGACGGATGGTCCATGGTCCATGGGAAGTTGAGGTGTGGAAGCCGAAGCGTGAAGCCCGTCCGGAAAGACGCCTAAGCCCACCTCA